GACAGTCGCACCGTGACTGGGCAAGAGTGACGTGGTCCGATGTCCGAACTATTAGAGCAATGACTATCGAGCGATTGTTGTTAAATGTGGATGATTCGTCTCGTGTGTGTATAAGATGTGCTATTTTTTACAGCAACCTATAGGCGTGGTTTATGATAGGGCAGGAAATGCTGTGTACATATGTTGCATGCTTTGTACTACATAACTGAGACTGTAATAGCCCCGAGTACATCGAGGATTGTCTCATTAAATACATTACATTACATTACATTACAGTCGAGCTATGGTGAGCTGTTTCAGTGGTGCTAGTCGTGTTTTCGCCATAACGAATGAACAAAGAGCCGTCTGCTCACCTTCCCCACGGCGCTCGTTCGTCATTCTAACGTACGCCACAGCGCCAAAGGCCGCTTCTGATGCGTCACAAAACACATGAAGCTGGTATTCATCTGGTTCTTGTGTCAGCCTTGCTTTATAACAGCGAGGAATGCGGATATTTTCAAGGTAGTGAATCTCGGATTCCCATTCAAGAAATTCATGGCGCTCAGTTGCCCGCAGTTGGTCATCCCAGCCGTAGTTTAGTGACCACAGTCGCTGTACCAGTATTTTGGCGCGTAGCGTGAATGGGGCAACAATACCAAGCGGGTCAAAAATCATTGCCACTCGTCGAAGCACTCCTCGTTTCGTCTCTGGTACCTCTGTAAAGCGGCTCTTGACACCGATCAGGTCCATTTCCGGTATCCAAACACATCCCAGTGCCCGTTCCAAATCTCCCTTTTGACGCATTAAATCAACGGCGGGAATACCAGAGTTGTATTCTGAATCTTCAAGAACCTCTGAGTGACTGCTTACCCACTTTGCCAGTACAAATCCTCCCTGACCAACTATTTCCGTGACTCCATTTTTTATCATTTTGGCTTTCTCGACTGTTCTAGCCGAATGCAAAAAATCGTCCATATAAAAGCTTTGACGTATCGCTGAGACGATAACAGCAGATTCTGCGTCATCCCTGTGGTCATCTGCGGTTCTCTGAAGGACGTAGCTGGCTGCCACTGGACTACATCTAGCGCCAAATATGGTCACTAGCATCCTGTAATGGTCGGGCGTCTTAGACGTGTCCCCGCCTCTCCACAGAAACGTCAGCGCGGGCTGATCTTCGACTCGCATCTTCACTTGATGGAACATCTCGGTGATATCCCCCATAATTGCTACACGTTCCTCACGGAAGCGGATGAGGATCCCCACCAGGTTTTGCAGCAAGTCTGGCCCTGTGAGAAGATTGTCATTTAGTGACGTTCCTTGACATGATGCTGCTGCATCAAACACTACACGCAACTTTTTCTTGTTAGGATTTGAAACCCCGTGATGTGGGAGAAACCATGTCTTGGGGTTCATCTTGGCAGCTTCAACTTCCTCTTGTGTCAACTTGCGCGCATAACCCTTCTTAACGTATCCCATGAGCGCCTCATCGTATGCTGCCGCCTTTTCTGAATTCTTGCTCATGTTCTTCTCAGTTGAAAGTAGGCGATGGTAAGCTATATGGTAGTTGTTAGGCAAATGAACATCGTCTGTTTTCCACAACAGGCCCACCTCGTAACGGTCCCCAACTTTCATCGTAGTCTCGTCTAAAATCTGTATGGCTCGTCTATCTTCGGTAGACATTGATGTTTTATCCACGTATTTTGTACCAAAACATTCAGTACTCCACCATTCTTGGACATAGACTGGCACCTCTTCTGACTCTGTTTTTTGAACCAACATAATCTGCCGTACATGCTCAGGGACAAGATTGTGCAGTGAGCCGGAGAGCGCCCAACCAAATGCCGTCTTAACGGCGACAGGCTCCCCGGGTTTGCCCATCCTAGCCTCCAGTTGAAGTACAGCCTCGATAACATTAGCCCCAAGAAGAAGCTCAACCTTTTGTCCATTGTAACCGGCTATGTCAAGATCACGAATGTGTTTCCAGCTTTGCATGCGCTTTTCAAGACTCGGAGTTTTAACGTACAAATCGGGAACTGAAAATGCCTCCGAGACAAATATGGGTTTTGACCATGGCTCGTGGGCGGGGACAAGACTCAATGTCACCCTATGGGAAATTTGTTCCGTGCCGCGACCTCTCACCGTTTGGAGTTGGAGTCCTTGTTTCTCTCCGGTCAGTCCAAGATCAGTAAGAACTTCTTCACAGCAAAGTGATGTTTGTGATCCGGGATCGAGAAGTGCGTTCACGGCCCGGGACCGCCCTTCATTTCCCAGAATGCGAACACGCACGACCTGAAGCAAGGTGGCTGCGCCGTGGTCAGGCTTGGACGCAGCAGCTATAACTCGAGTACCGGGGCTGTCCGCCGTGTCCTCGATCCGCCTGGCCTCTGCTTCTGGGATAGGTCGCCGTACCCTCTGGCTCCCATGCAGCAAACGATGATGACGCATCCTGCACCCCTCTAGACCGCACGGCCTGGCTGTTCTGCAATAGCGCGCCCTATGCCCCCGTTTGAGGCAATAGAAGCAGACGTCAGAAGAAGCGACAATTTCGGCCCTTCGATTTGCGTCCTTCTCTAAGAATGAGGGGCATGTGTCTACGTTATGTTTTTCTCCACAGTATATACAGGCCCCGGAATGTTCCACTTCAGTGCTGAGGGCGGCTCTGCGAAGCGGAACAGCAGTCACGTCATGTTTTTTGGCTCGACTCTGTCGGTTTTCTTCTGTTGCCACTGCCGCGTAATTTATAGCTACCCGTACTTGCCGACGCAGCCACATATCAAAATTTACCAACGTTGGTCTGGAGGGCTCCAAATCAAGCACATATTGGCCCCACTCTCTCTTCAGTTCAGAGGGGAGTTTTCTCGCCACGTTATGCAAGTTCTCTGAGCTATGCAAGTCACTTTCATAACCCAGATTTTCCAAGACCGAGACGGCAGAATGAACGGCCGCGTGGAACCGATCGGTTGATTCGGGATCTAAATATCTCGGCGAAGGACAGGAAAAACAGCTGCTAAATTCGAATGCACAATGTCTTCCTCTCTTCCATAACGATCTTGTAGCGCAGCTATAGCGGCGCGGTAAAGTCGACCGTCATAAAGCATTCCGGAGATTGTTTTTTGAGCTGGACCAATGACGGCGCCCTGGAGATGCGCCATCTTCTCTGTGTCAGTCAGGGCAGACTGATTGCCAACCAGAGTTTGGAAAAGCGCAAACCAGCGCGGCCATTCCCCGGGAGCTCCACTGAACTTGGTTAGCTCTAACCTGGGGAGATTCTTCAACAGACCGCCATCGGTACCAGCGTGATGTCCAGTATGTATGGCCCGCTGGAATCCAGCGGCGGCAGGAGCGGAGGATGTTGAATCAACAGGGTTGGGCTCTCCCGTCACTTGACGGCTTGGATTTCCTTCCATATCCACACAGGGTCTATCGACAAAATCATCACGCCTCTCCCATTGCAATTCATTTTCGGCAGCGAGTGTTAACTTTGCTTCTAACTCCGCTGTTGCTTGTGTATCTCTCGCATTTTCAAGTTCATTTGCTCTTCTCAACTCTTCTTCTTTTCGTTCTCTATCATGTCGATTTTTAAGCTGCTGCAGCTCCATTTCTTTAACTTTCAATATTATTTCCGTTTTCTTTGCTTCAGATATGTGAGAGACTGAAGAACACTCGGAGCCATTGGCTGATGCATCCGGTTCGTCCTTCCTATCCACCAATGCCTTCTCTATCTGATCCATTGTATCATGGTACTGACATTCTGCTTCTGCCACATAGCTTTGGGCCTTCTTTATTTCATCTGCACCATCGAGAGTTTCGATATATTCATCATTTTTTACTTGCAAATTCGCCAAAGCTTCATCGAGCTCAGACATCATTTTCAGCAGACTAGTCCGGCTCCCCTTAGCATCGACCGCGACTTGTGCCCTTCGTCTGAGTCTTGTGAGTTTTGCCAACGCGTACTGACGGCTTTGTTTCCCCTTCGATGATGCCTCAGACATGACTGTTTTTAGCTAAGAAACTTCTTGGATTAACAATTCAGCGAAATAAGTCAGATAACTGAGAGGGATGTATGACAGAGACCTTTGAGCGTTTGAAACTGTCGTCACCGCCGTGAGTGATTGAAGCGCGTTTTATGGTTTGTGAGAGTGTGTAGTTAAAATGACGGCTGGTTAAATGAATCAAAATCATTTAGTGGTGCAGCACAGCCCGTCCTGAGAGATATATTCAATTTTGGCTTGGCAAACGGTTTCTGCGAAAAAACAACAACACGATTTTGACACAATGACGGAACAAATAACACATAAACACAGCGCCAAGATCACCGCCACTGGAACAGTCCGCACACTTACCAAACGTTACTCATGTCGCCTCGGCGGTGATGAATGTTCACTTGTTCAGGCTTATACATTTATCGATATAAACAAAAGTTCTGTTTCGTTTCAGGAAGTTCGTTCTTCGTTCGTGTCTTCGTTATTCTCGGCTTCGGTAACTTGTACAAATTTAGTTGAAATATAAGTCGTAATTTCACATCTTCCAATCAAAATAATGGGCTTATTAACTCAATAGCCCAAAAGCTCACTGGCTTTCAAATTCTTCTCATATTTTGCCTTTTCAATTTTCAAATATTTACACAAATAAAACATTTTTCGCCACCTCGTGCATAAGTCGCTCCTGCTCCACAGCAGCGATAATCGAGGTCGCGACAATGGGTAATGATTGATGACTAAAGGACAAACCTGCGAGCGTCACAAACATGTGGGCTGTTGCATTGTCACAAACACCCTACAAACAAACTACAACAAACTGCAAACAGGCTACAGGCGTCAGGCGCGGGTTTTAAGTGCTTCACATTATACTTCGATCAATTTTGTCGCAATGCTGTTATCTGTGCAGTGTGTGTGCCGTATAAGCCAGTAGATTTACCGTAGCTGTGACCTCTGACCTGACCTGACCTGACCTCTGACCTGACCTCTGACCTGACCTCTGACCTGACCTCTGACCTGACCTCTGACCTGACCTGATCTCAGATGGAGGATGACGTGGACATGGAGCTGGAGCTGGAGCGACAGATGGAGAGGGAGCAACAGCTGGACAATATCAAACAGGTTCAGAAGCTGGTAAGGAACTTATTCATTATCCAACCACACCTAACATCTTTTTTCATAAAATCTTGGAGTATTCGGTGGTTATATGTAACAAAAGGGGATCATTAGGCTGCTCCATGTCACTGGACGCACACAAGGAAAAGAAAATTTTGCAACGAAATACAACGTGTGTGTAATGCAATTACATACCTAATAGGCATTGTGTCTGGTCTGTTAGTACCACAACTTATTGTGGCAAGTTGTTACATACCAAACTTCCCCATGGGCTACGGGCTCTCGGGACAAGCCTCCCCTGCATGTTGCGCCATCTTATTGCGACTTGGTTTCGCGAAGAAGACACTCGGCCTACATTTTAAGAGGCTTCACCTGAACGTTTGATTTGCCTGTTTATGGAACTATGTCATAACGTTGAATCATAGCCTATCTATTTGCCGGTATTTGTAAAACTATACCAGAGTGTAAGATTATGACTTTCCTGTGTGGAACAGGTGGAGGAACAGTGCAACAGTCAGAGAAGGCGGGCGGCGCTCGTCAAGACACCCTCACTGCCGGCAAACTTTGTCTTTCACGACTCTTCTGAGGGTAAGATACAGATTATGTTGTCTTCAGCTAGCCGTTAGCCTTGCACACCATGGAGGTAATCGGGTTAATCTAGCCATATAAGCAGAACACTGTATTTGTTGTTATCCTTGTAGGTCGCATTGTATAAAAGATAAACCACACACAGGCAACGCCCATTTAAGGTGGTCAATGTCATGCCATTTCTGCCAGTCTGTCAATTCGTCCATCCGTCCGTCCGTCCGTCCGTCCGTCCGTCTGTCCATCTGTTTTCCTGTTTGTTTTCCTTTCTGTCTATCTGTCCACCCTGCCAATGTGCTCAGGATTACTCACTGCGGGGGTTCAGTATTTCCGCCCTTAGGAGAACCCAAAATGAGCCGTTCTAGAGGCTCAGCCTCAATCTTACCAAGCGCCGTCAATGCAATTTGATAGCACTAGCCACAGATAACAGTAGTACTAGTAGTACTACTGTTATCTGTGCACTAGCTAAAGTTGAGCTTTGGTGAACGGCTATGAAATACAACGTGTTTTCAAGCATTTCAGTCCGCTGTATAATGATGCTTTCCAAGGAAAAAGGCTCTGATACAGGTTTGCTTATTTGACACTGGTTTGCTGACACGAGTACAAATGCTATAAAATACAGTGAAAACGAAAAGGCAGTTCATCAGGCTTGCACCAGGCTCCGGCTGGGGCCGGGAAGGTGCAGATAGAGCGTCCGGCCGCTGCCGTCGGGACCGCCAAGGTGACCCCTGTCCGTCTGAACCAACAAACGCCCTTCCTTGCATTGTATCTACACCCCGCTGTGAGAGAAAATAGTTCAACACTGAGGCTGCAAGAGGTCAGCTCAGGCTTAATATCAAAGTAAAGCACGGCCACAACTTTGTATGCTTGATTTGGTAGTCAGGCCCGTTCGGTTCCAGCTCATTCAGGGGAGGGGGGATGGGGAGACATTGGGCTGGCGGACCACCGACGGTGCGTCGCAGTGGCGGGGACCACCCGGTGGGACGCCAGTGTCCCGGTGGGACAGACCACCCACCCATTCAAACGGACAGTCCGGGGGAGCCGTACCCCTAGTGGAGGACCCGAAACGGCCGGACATCGAGCGGCGTGGCCGTGCACACAAACAGTGTGAGCTGTGAACAAGATAAGGGGCGGGTCATCAGGAAAGGGATGTTGGAAATGAAGCATATATGTTGATAAATGATCATTTATTAATATTTCATAACCCATCTTTGTTGCCATCAAGTTTTTTTTTCGTTAAGCATTCTCATTGTGAGGTCACATGAAAACCACAACCTCAGTCTATGAGAAATTCGAGATAAAGAAATTACGATCGATGAAGGGCCAGGCACATTGTTGCATGGTTCCTCAGAGTTTCATATCAACCCTGCCTAGGCCCCCTGACACTGAGGGCGTTGCGAAGACGCGTCATTCTAGCACCTTACAGAAATTCGCTAATGACGTTTGGGGTCAGTGACCTTAGCTGGCTTCAACATACGGCTGATAAAAGGTCCGGCTTGAATCAAAGATCAGTTATGGCAATTGTTAGCTCTGTCCTCTTTAACCCTCGCACTTTAAGGGGGTCGAACGGACCCCCTCAGTTTTTCGCGAATAACTCACGTAAAAGCGGCCGATCGCGACGAAACTTTTAGTGTACTCGAGTTAATCGATTGTACACATACTCGGGAAATTTCATGATCCTGACCTAAGTGTTCTTTGATCTGTGACCTGATTCTCAAGACCATGTTCGGCCGGGATCGCGATTTGGCGTACATATGTCGGCTCACATTATCCGCGCATTTCCAGTCTGTTGGTGGTTATAAACGTTCAAACATGTGTAATGATGTTGGTCCCATGCATTATTGCGGGTGTTAAAGTCACTTGAGGGTCAGGTCAAGGTCATTGACCTTTGGTGACCTCGGTTCACTTTTTCGAGTTTTACATGTTTCTGGGATAGTGTTTGGAGCTTATTTCGAACTTAGCACCCATTTGAACATTTACGAAGTTGTAAACTTAGGGGGAGACGGTCGTCCCGGTTTACAGTCATCCGATCGTGGTGATCGGGAAACGTGTTCCTTTCCGAGCACTCGTCAGCCACCAGGGCTCTTCATGTCGCCCTCGCTTCCTCGTCTTCCGTCTTCCTCCAAAGCCTTGGTTTGATGAGTAGAAAAGTGTGTATTTACAAATTTCAGATTTTACTAATGTACAGCACACACGGACGTTAGACGGTATACTAAAACTACGCGCATGCGCTAGACGGTCTATCTAGTAACATGCGACATGCGCAGCGTGTGTGCGCGGATATACGAATATACATAAGCAATGGCGCACCGACACATGCGCAGCAGGTGTGCGCGGCTGTAGGGAACTCCTACACTACCCCCTCCCTAGACGGGTCGCGAACGTGACTCGTCGAGATCGCTGTGGGGATCGAACGTCGCGATCGGTGCGAGAGCGCAAGATAGATCGCGGCGGAGCTGGTTCCGGTGTTGCTGCTCTTGGATATGGGTGTTCTGCAGGCGGCGTGTCTTGCGGCAGCAGCTCCATGCTGTCCGACTGAGCAGCTGATGGTGGCACAGTCGCAGAGGCAGGAGACTGCTGCGCAGGTTGGTGTGGCGTCTCTTCCGGAGACGCAGGCTCGCAGTGGTCGATGTTGCTGGTTGGTGCGCTGGCGGCCACCGGCTGCTTGTTGGGTGGAGCTGGCGTCGGCGTCGGTCGCTTCGGTAGGTTGCCGCGAGGAGATGCGCTGAGTGAGGCGTCAGCGTCGATCCGTTGCTGTTTGGCAGTCTTCGTGTTCCGCACGAAGAGAAGTGTTGCGGCAGATGCTTTCGACCGGCTGCACGGAGGCTCGCAGCGGCGGGCCTTGTTACCGAAACGCTGGTGGTACCAGCAGACAGAGCTGTCTGGGTACGTCGGCGTCGGAGGGCGTGACGGGAGAGGCGTCTGACGGCTGCGATGTCGACCTTTGTTGCGGTGGGAGAAACTGCACGGCGCTTTGCAGCGACGCGCTCTGGCACCGAAGCGCTGGTGGTACCAGCAGATCTCGTAGGTTGACGGATGCGCTGGCTTTAGAGGGCGGTTTTCATGGCGTCGTTGATGCTGGCTTCGGCCAAGTTGCGATGCTGCGCCTTTGAGTCGACGCTGGGTGGCCTCCATTTGCCGTACTCGGACGATGAGGGTCGCGATGGTGGCTAGCAGAGCTGTGAGCCGACCTGCTGCCTCGGGTTCGGGTGCCGGCGAGCTGAAGCTGCTTGCGGGAGGAGCGGTGTGCTGCCGGGTGGCTTCGCTCGACTCCATGGTGTGGTCCACGAGTAGCCCGGATCACGTCGGGGTCACCAGTGTAAACTGAGGGACGGTCGTCCCAGCTTACAGTCATCCGATCGTGGTGATCGGGGAGCGTGTTCTGTTCCGAGCACTCGTCAGCCACCAGGGCTCTTCATGTCGCCCTCGCTTCCTCGTCTTCCGTTTTCCCTCCAAAGCCTTGTGTCGATGAGTTGAAGAGTGTGTGTATTTACAAATTTCAGATTTTACTAATGTACAGCACACACGGACGTTAGACGGTATACTAAAACTACGCGCATGCGCTAGACGGTCTATCTAGTAACATGCGACATGCGCAGCGTGTGTGCGCGGATATACGAATATACATAAGCAATGGCGCACCGACACATGCGCAGCAGGTGTGCGCGGCTGTAGGGAACTCCTACAAAGTAGTTTTGGTGCCTTCGTAACATGTTACGAAGCTGTCAGTGGTGGTTGACACCTACAATGGATAGCCGGCAGGACGCCTACTGGTTGACCTGACCTGACCTGACCCGACCTGGCCTAAATGCATGCAGACATCATCTGTGATCACAACTTACATGATATTCGTGATCAGCACCCCTAAAAACCTCACAACAGCTTCACTTTACTAAGTTCTAACAGGTCCCGATTTTTCCGTCTTTTGGGTGGTTGACCTGTTCTGGAAGGTCACCCAATGACCTAGGACCTTAAAATTGGGTATCATCGCCTTCCTCTCGTCGCTCGCAACACGCTCGTTTTTCCGCGAAGCTCTAGCTCTATCAGGGTCCAAACGGCAAGGGGGTTCAACGGAACCCCCCCCATTCGTTAGACGCTGGCAAAACACGAATACGGGCGAGGGTTAAGGTGTTCCGATCAGTCGCAAAAAAAAAACACGCCAGAGGGTTGCACCAACACTTCTCTCCCGGGGAGGGATAGACACATCAATATGAACGTATTGATTTGTATGCCATTATTGTCATTATTAAACCATTATAAATCCATTTCTGCATCCTCCAACTTGCATCTCCCAAAGCATGAACCTCTATAGTCTATACCTTTGTATGGCTGTCTATGACCTTTTCGGGAATGCAGGGCAATGTAGGCCACTGTCCATAGGCTTCAGAAGCCATTGTTTATTACAGGGCTGTCGAAAGTGCATTGTAATGATCATGAGCAAGCCGATCCCTGCAGCAGAGTGATCAGGGAGGGGCCACTTTATCGCTGAGTTTGTCGATCACGGGACCGGGCCGCGTCACCGGATGTGGCGCCTCTGACAGAGGCCAGCCGCACCGAGCTCTAAAGACGCCCTGCCAGCTCCGAGCCGTCAGTCCGAGGGCGGCAGCCGACGCCGCCGGCACCTCCTGCCAATCCAGCATGGCAGTGCACACGGTGATCGGAGTGATACTTGTCGTCTGGACCGCCCTGGCCGGGCGGTCCGCGGCGCAGCAGCAGCAGCCGGCCGCCCTGCCCAGCGCCACTGCCAACGAGACGTATAGCTACATAGCAAGAGCAGTTCATCGAGGGCTACAGCCCATCATCAGCAAACTTGAATCTCGGGTGGAGTCGCTGAACAACAGACTGACTCTGCTCGACTCTCGAGTGACGGAACTTACCACCAGTATTTTGAGAAGCAGACAGAATGAGCAGCTGGAAGAGCTGTCCAGTCAACTGACTGCAATCACTGCCAGACTCAACAGCCAACAGTCACAACTGAGCGAGCTCAACGCTCAGCTGAACGAACAAAAATCCCAACAAGAGGAGACTGCAGCCACAGTGAACAGCCTCATAGCGAAACTGGATACCATCGTTACTCAGCAAGGACATCTCACACAGACGTCTCAAGTGACTACAAGGATCGACAGCCCGCAGTCTCAATTGAGCGAGCTCAACACCCAGCTGAACGATTGCAGCGACCTGCCTGTTGACTCCCCATCTGGAGTCTACCTCCTTCTGCCCAGTGGTAACATCAAACAACCACCCGTCCAGGCCTACTGTGACATGGATACTGCCGGAGGGAACTGGACGGTGATCCAACGACGAGATGACATCAAACCCCACCAGGACTTCTACCTCGGATGGACCGACTACAAGGAGGGATTTGGTAATGTTACCAAAGAATTCTGGTGGGGTTTAGAACACCTATTTCAGCTGACGTCATCAGGCCGACGTTACGAGCTTCGTGTTGGTCTTGAGGCGTTTGACGGCATTCGAAGATACGCTGTATACCAAGGGTTCAGCGTCTCGTCTGAGGTGGACGGCTACAAACTGAGCGTCTCCGACTACTCTGGAACTGCCGGGGATGGTCTGATGCTGAGCGTCAATGTGAAGTTCTCTACCCGTGACCGTGACCAGGACGTCGACTCTGAATATCACTGTGCACAGTACTACCAGGGGGCCTGGTGGTACGGCGAGGGATGCGGGTGGAGCAGCCTGAACGGACGGTACCGGGACGGCGGTATTAGGAACCCGACTGGAATATGGTGGTGGGAGTGGAGGTTAGATGAGTCACTGAAGAAGACCGAGATGAAGATCAGGCCAACGTACTAATCTTTATGCAGAAGAGGACGTCACAGTGATGTAGCTACACCGGTGACATGTGTACCGAGCCGGTGTCACGGTATTTACTCAAACACTAACACTGTAGTATGGTTAGAGTATGAAGCTTTTACTTACAGGACGTTGTATGAGGATGCAAGTCGGCACTTTTCTGCTGATAAAAAGCATGATGTGCGATTATCCATGTATACCACACAACATGTTTCATTAATGTTATCTATATCTAAACACATGAGTTATATTTTACTCAATGGGCCTTATCTTTGACTTGATGGTGCTAATTTTTGTGTAATACTTATATTTGGGGAATATATAATTGAGATTGTTTTTTATATTTGACTTATATTTACAGCTCATTGCTATGCAGGGTATTCACGAAAATATATGATGATTGTATTTGTGAAAAATATAACTATGAAACCTAAATATGCCTCGACTTGTTCATAGTAACTGCTATTCTATAGCCATAGTGTGACAGAGTGTTATTCTTTACACTCTGCTAAGTCAACGAGCGAGCAATTGCTGCCCGAAGTGAGAGAGCGAGGGAGTTTATCTAATGGTTTCGAAAAAAAATCTCAGTATGAGCGGTCTGTCCCGGTCGCCCCGAACCCGTGAGGCTTTTCACAGTTTTATACCCATCACCCCGCAACGGCTAAACCGATCGACAAGTGGTCTTCTAAAGAAGTTCTAAATCAGATTGATCTACTCTTTAACTCATGAACTCAGCTACTTTCGATGCATATTAGTGACCAGCACGCGGCATGTGATAAATGCAAGGCCAAGAACGTCCAAGTCGTTCCGCCCACGTACCGCTTTTGAGAGGTTTGTGTCTCAGTAACCAGAACATGGTCCACTGAAAATTCGGCCAGTATTTAATCCTCGCGGACCGGTGGGCGAGCTTTTCGTCCCAATATTGACTAAGAGTTACGCGATTGTTCTTGAACGTTTATAGACAGAAGCGCGAAACGTTTATAGCATTTTCCCCCATCACTTTGACATCTTCAGAAATAAAAAAAGAATATCGTGTCCTGATGACCTCACTGGGTTAATTTCGCTAGACCTCTGCACGAAAAATATCGACGTCACAAACGCAAGCTTTAAACAGCTGCCAAAAAGAGAGCTTTTGGGCTCTCTTTTTGTAGTTTGCATGTTTCTACTTCCCAGTATTTTCAACCGATTTCGAATTTGGTACCAATTTAAACATTTACGAAGAAGCTTTGGAACCATCGTAATATGTTACGAAGCTGTCAGTGATGGTTGACTTCTTCTATGGATAGCCGGCAGGACGGCTACTGGTAGACCTGACCATACCTAACTTCATGCTAAATGCAACCTAAATGCTAAGTGTACATAGTTCTAGGTGGTCCCGATTTTTTTAGACTTTTTGGTCCTTTGGCCTGATCTGAGAGGTCAACCAACGACCTAGCACCCTAAAATTGGATATCATCGGCTCCCTATTGGCATGGGCTCGTTTTCTCGCTCGTTTTCTCCGGAGAACTTTAGCTTCATCAAGGGCCGAAAGGCTGCGGGTCCAACCCTGTTCGTTAGCGGCCGAGAAAACTCCATTACAAAGACAAATGATGAGCATGGCTGTGTAGCATATAAGCTGGAAAAATACCTTAGGCCAAGTCATTAGGTCAGGTACAGGTCACAAGCTCAAATATTGTCACCGACTGCGCATTTAATTACACATTCAAGAACCGTAACGTAAGTGACATAAAAGATCGTGGTAAAAAAGATGTTGTAGCCTTAAGGATGAGCTACAGGGGCGCAGATTCGTGATGGAATGAAGGTCAGGATTAGACACAGAGATGAACAAGTGAACAGGAATAAAGATCACGCTATACGGTCAAACCATTTCTGATCCTCAGGTGATATCGGATGTGGGAATCGAACACACCTCCCGTGCTATGCCTCGATGAGTTACGGGAAGTTGCAAATGCAAGTTGTAGCACTGAAAGTAAAGAAAGGCAGATTGATAGTGCACAGCACGAGAGGAAACAAGAAGGGAGAGCCAGGTTTACGATCCAGCAATGAGCAATTCTAATGCTTGGTTTGTCAACGCTTAGATACTGAAAATATATTGTAACTTATCTCCACACATCACATAATAAGGAAAATAAAAAATGCCTACAATCACAAATTTGCATATTTTTACTCGGTCAGCCTTAATTATCAGAAGCAGACTATGACCAACCAGCACATATTTGCACAAATATAAAACCTACGGCTTGTATCCTGATCCTCTCGTAAAGACTCATGCAGCTGTCAAGTTATGTCTAGGTGTCTGCCGTCCACCGTCCATTAGCTGGGACTATAGGTAGGTGTCAGGTAAACCAAAAATGCAAGTACTTAAGAATTTCAGAAAAAGCACCTACCTATTTGGAAAGGGACGACTTACAACCAGCTTTATTGGTTACATTAAAATACATTTGCCACTTTCGTACATCTCAAGCGGCATACAATATGTTTATATGTTATAAGCTTTTTCCAATAATTCCCCAGAGACAGTGGATAGTATACATAGGCATATCTGAGCAGTGGGTAGGTATGCCTATTATCAGCTGGATTAGCCCAAATTTGGCGGATCCAACTTCCCTGGGCCGGCAAGGAGCTTAGATATGGCCCTAACCCTAACAATGGCCCTAACAGCCCATTGCTTTGGCACTAATTTGTTTTGTTGGGTTAGGCCCTTTCGGTCAGAGCCGGAAGGATGATAGGATTTAGGGGGGAGACATTGGTCTGGGCAGACACCCTATGAGAGTCGCCGAAGCTAAGCCTATCCGAATGGACAGGCCGATCACCCCCCCCCCCCCCAAGTACTCACGGCACCTGAGCAGCGGCGCCGCTCCAAGGGAGCAGCCCGCATGAGATAAAGTTGCCTGTCCAGTCCGGACCGAAGGTTGCGGCGTGGAGGAGAAGAATTTGGTTATCCTGAGTATGGAAACGACGGACGGGCTTTGCACTAAAAGCCATCTAACACTATATTCGTAACCTCTGAAGTGTGCGATGTCATTTTCAAGTGACAAATCGCACAGGAGGATGTAGGAGGAGGGTTTCAGGATTCAACCCTCGTATGTAGGAGGGTTGAAGAAGGGTTAATGTGATTATCATCTCTCTCTCTCTCTCTCTCTCTCTCTCTCTCTCTCTCTCTCTCTCTCTCTCTCTCTCTCTCTCTCTCTCTCTCTCTCTCTCTCTCTCTCTCTCTCTCTCTCTCTCTCTCTCTCTCTCTCTCTCTCTCTCTCTCGTCTCTCTCTCTCTCTCTCTCTCTCTCTCTCTCTCTCTCTCTCTCTCTCTCTAACTTACCTCCTCTGTTTGCAGGCGACACATCATCGGTGTCTCTGCGGCCTCCTCTTCAGCGGAGTTGCGTCAGCTTTGATGCCGAACATGTGGCAGGCCTAGCTACACCCAGTGTCAGCCAACTGAAACTGCCGGTGGAGACAACCACTGCAATGCTGACAATCGAAACCAACTCTGCTAGTCGGTCTGACAACCAGGGAAGTAGCTTCTACGGCGACCGCGGCATCAGGCGAGGAAGTCAGGGAGCGGTGGCGGAGAGTGTTGGTCCAGCGGACATATCAGTAGAGCGGGCGCAGGATCAGCGCCCGACTTCCTCCGCAGTTAGTTATCTGGCCTCCTGCGTGGCGGCCTCCATGATGCCTCCAGGAACTCTTCAGGAACTCTCGTCTAGAACTCCTGGAGGGGATCACTCTGTGGAGCTGACGCTGAACCCGGGTCTGGCTCGGACCGCGGATCCGGTGGTTTTCTTAGCGAACCGCGCCTCGACTGGGCCGGGTGTGTCGTCGTTCGACCAGTCCTCGGTCAAATCCATGACTTCTGCGGGTCTGTCGGGAACCGCTGAGACGTCCCAGGCTTCTGGTCAGTCTGGAGGAAAGGCTTCCAGTCAGACTGCGCGTCAGACTTCGGGACGGACTGCAGGGAAAACTGGCGCCGGGCCTGCGATCTCAACTGTGACACAGCTTGTCGCTCAAACGCTGAACCCGTTGGCAGCCATCGGGAGGAGTTTGACATCGCCCTCACAAGCTCCGCCCCTCTCCCCCGCTGTAGCTTCCTCTGCCTGTGCGTCATCTGCAACGAAGTCTGCGGTTTCAGCGTCTGCTTCTTCTTCGTCTACTGCTGTGACGCCTGCTTCTCTAGTATCATGCACTCCAGTGTCTTCAGTTTCAACATCTACTGCTACAACAGGTTCAGTTCCAGCTTGTTCAGCTTCAGTGTCAACAGCTATAGCGTCAGTTAACCCAACATCGCAAACCTCGACATCGTGTCCTCCGTCAGCATTGCCATTATCACCAACGACAGAGACAAACAGTCCCGTATCGGAGGGCAGAACTGCGCCCTGTTCTCCTGTGGCAGAGGACGCGTCACCTCCTTCAGACTCTCCGACGATTCGCAGAGGCTCTGAGAGTGTCCCTCCCGAGGCGGCAAAGTCGACAGAAGGTGAGGACAGAGTGGAGAGAGCAGACACAGCCGGGAGCAGGGAGCGGACGACGGGGTCGGAGCGAACGCCCCTCCCTGAGCTGTACTCATTCGAGGAGGCAGCGCGAGTGCTTCTGACGAGTTTCGATACGTGTAGAGCGCTACAGCGGCCGATGGACGTGGATTCGACCAGCTGTTCGGCATGTTCGTCTCCGGCTGATACTGCGGGGAGCTGGTCGGACCTCGCCTCATAGCGATAGTGACCGCGCTGGGAGCCCGGGGGCAACGGGACAGTGACTGTGAATCACGCAGGTGATGACTGTGACTGTAGCCATAAGCAAAAACTTCAGTGAGCGAGAATTATTTAGGGATATTCGCCAGGGGCCACAACGAGTAGTCTCGGACTAAAGTCGATTGCATGCCGGGCATGAGGGTCTTAGCGATAATGAACTTATGTCCAGGACACCTTACCCCGAGTCCCTGTCGGATGACTCGCTGTCTTTGCTATGTAACATCCTTGGTCACCGTGTAGCACGATGTGCATCAGAAACGTTCATTGTCCAGCTCATACCATCCGAAGAGTCAGTGATATGATACTTGGCGAGACTTCGACAGCATCGAATGTATACCAGCAGGTGGATTCCAGCAGTAGGCCGCAGACACGGACGTATAAATAAACGTTTATTTATGGCGTTTATTTATAAATTACGTCCGTGGCTGCAGCCAATGGAGCTGTTCAAACCCTCCTAGGGCTTGTAATACCCTCGGTTCAAAGCTTTCCAACTCATGTGGACATGTCTCACTAGATTACCAATCACTGTGGACGTGCGTCACCAAATAATGTCGATTCGTGATACCAGATCACTAAAATATCCACTGTAGACCTGTGCTGCCGAACTGGACGTCAAAATGCTAGCATGTGACCCCTAGTGACACTGAATGCCCGACAACTGGAACAATGATCTGATTCGTCAACCAGAACAATAATTTGTATGCGCCCGGCCGGCCCGGGGACGGACGATCCCATTCAGATCCCGTGTGTGTGTGTCAAAGTATTACTGCAAACATGTATGCCTACATACGAAGGCCTAGCGCACATTGTTGTACTCAGAGAATGTTTATTGAAGTGTTTGTGTGTCTGTGTGCGCTTGAGAGCCGTAAGAACGTGTGGTTGGGTGGCGGTGGGCCGAACTGTGCTCACCGGAAGGTGATGGTGCGATATGGTCAGAAGTGCTCCCTGATTTAGTATCACGATACTGAGCATGGCGTCACAAACTCTGTGTTATAGACGGCGGTGGCGATAAGAGTGTTATTGTATTGCCATGTTGGTAAAAATGAGCGTTGTTGACGTTTTCACCCTGAACGCTAGCAATACATCGGTTCCGTTAAGATCGCTGGTGCCTTTTTTGCTATTTCACATCAGCACCCCCTCTTAAAACCGTATTATTTATCCCCCTTATGGTGATAAAGCTCCCGAACCATCACTCACTAGTCATGCGATATGCAAATATATATAGGATCGTATAATACAGGTCCCGCTCTTACAATCGATGACGGGTAAAAAAGAAAACGCCTGAATCCCTCCAATGCTACCAGAACCCGAGGCTCTGCTCCTGCTTTGATAATGGTAACCTAACCATTAACTATTTTAGTATATCCGTTTGTTGATGACCCCATGGTAACCGTAAGCTTTAGTTGCGACAATCAGCAACTCTTGAAGCAGGTGTGGGGTGGTACGACTGAAATCTGGTGCATCACAAACTACATCAAGCACGGACACGATACCTACTGCACCCGGAGAATATCGAGTAAGTACTATCTCATTTATATGGCGATGTCACATCAGAAGTAACTCGCCAATTATTCCACCATCATGTTATCGTTCATGTCATCATCATCATCTCATCATCATTTCATGATTCGTGTTATCTATGAATAAGTGTATAGTTGTAAAGTTCGATCGGCTGGAAACGTTAATAGTTCTCGGATAGGCTAATCAGTCTTTCACATTGTACGATGGCCCGGCTGGATTAAATGCATTGATAAAGTCGGTAGTAATAAATGTGTTGGAGGAATGCTAGTAAAATGAGATCAAATACCAAACTGATCGGTGCACAGTATCCAATTTGATAAAATGATGTCAAAGCACGGTGGGAGGTGAACTCTAAATGGCATTTCACCACCTGCTGTACACTGTGCAGTGATGCATAAGAGGAAGCCGTCGAAAATGGACTTATCTTTTTCCTATATATGTTTTCAAATATAACCTTATGTTCAATGATTGCGAAATGCAAAAGGTTCCAAAAATAATTACAAAATGAATATATTTCTGACACTGTCCTTCTTCAGTTCAGAATTGCAAATTAAATATTTGCAATTTACGATTTAATTTGCAATTTACGATTTAATTTGCAATACTGAACTGAAGAAGGACAGTGTCCGAAATATATTCATTTTGTAATTAATTTTGGAACCTTTTGCATTTCGCAATCATTGAACATAAGGTTATATTTGAAAACATATATATGTCATAATGCTGTTCAATGTTCATACAAGTACTTCGCCATTTACTTGCAATTATCTTTTTCCTTTTGAATAATTTTAATCGTTCACGAGCAGTGGCATCTCTAGGAGAGTCCATTATATTTGGTTACTAATGCTTTCAGCTTTTCCAAATGATTGCTAAGGAAACTGCAGTGCTATTACTGTTGTAATATTTTACGAACTTTTAACAGTTGTTTATTTTGGCAAGGTAGCCCACTTCATGTCAGACACCATCTCCGCTGCTCAGTCACTGATGTCCCCCCCCCCCCCCACGCCGCCTCTGTCTGCCACTGCCGCCCGCCCCAGTGGCTGTGCCTGGCGCCGCCCCTGCCGCCCCGACCTGGCCCCCGGGCGGTGACCGGCCGGCCGGAGCGAGGCTGGTCCGTCGCGCCCGCGAGCTTTTGCTACCAGCGCTCGGTGCGTGTGGTGCGGCTCCCGGCATGGTGACTGTTTCTGGAAGGAATTCGGATATTGCCTGTAAAAGGTGAGAAAGCAGCGGGCACTGCAAATTAGATATGTCGTTGTTTCGTGTGTTAGTAAGAGTTTTAAATGTTTTATATTGTTTTTGAATCAATTACATTGCGAACTTCCAAACAGTAGACTGATGAATGATGATGCGCTGCTAAGCAAACGAGTAAAAGACAAAGTAATTATAAACGCCGCTTTTTAGCGATGCATGCTAATGAATTTTAGTGCAATGGTAAATAGAAAGCATAAAGCCATTCGAGTATTTCTTACTCTCATCCTTGTAATATCTATAAATGAAATTACATAATGTTTCGGGAGTGCTTCGCTTCCTTCGTCAGCCGACATTGAATGGCATCTCGAGTTTTTTTTTTTGTCTTTCCATGTTTTGACTTTGCTGACGAAGGCACCCGAAGCGCTCCTGTTACACATGATTACTAGCAATAGTGTCGGAAGATCGTTGTTACATTTTCCAAAGTAGATGAACCACTCCGTTACGTTATTGATTACCGGTAGGCTCTGCTGCTCAGTGATAGCCCAGTACATACATCACAGTGGAGTGAACTGATTCCCCTGGTGTCGTTTCAGTACTCCGTGATGCCTGGGCGGTCTGCCAGTGTCTGCTCTAGCCCGCTGCATTGTTGACCCGAGAGGGGGCGGACCTGCCACCGGTCCGATGCTCGACTACCTCCGACCTATCGCCACACAGACTCTGAACGGTAAGTGCGCGTCTAGAGCGGCAGTATAATTTGTGTTTTACCGGTGCCGGTCGGACTATCAACGTGTGCTGTAGCTAGTTGCATTAGCATATTAGTAATATTTGCTGTCTCGCTGCGCAGCTCGATGTTTAAGATTATAGTTTGAAGTTTAATGTGTGCACTTTAACCAATGTTTTCTCGCCAATTTTGGTCATAAGCTGGGGTCTGGCTGATCCAATTATTTCGTTTGTTGGTTCATCTGCTATTCGTTTGGGTATTGAGCAGTGAACATGCGGGGGGGGGTCAAAATTCATCTCCCACCATCAGGGATTGTTCTGCCGAAAGCCACAGATATCGTGGAGCAAGCAGTCAGTCGAATGCACTTTCAGATTTCCCGATCGTCAGCCCCCGGTCTATTTAAAAGCGATACCCACAGTGCATTCGATGCTTTGTGGCTACATCGGGCGTTATGTTATGCGGCGCAGCATAACTTCAGGCGCCGTGCACTAGCGACATCTATGATCTGGATTCTAGCCGTGCGGTGCAGCATGCCTTCAGGCGCTGTACACTAGCGACATCTTTGAAATGGATTCTAGCTTTGCGGCGCAGCATGCCTTCAGGCGCCGTACGCTAGCGACATCTATGATCTGGATTCTAACTGTGCGGCGCAGCATGCCTTCAGGCGCTGTACACTAGCGACATCTATGAACTGGATTCTAACAGGGCGGCGCAGCATAACTTCAGGCGCCGTATACTAACGACATCTTTGGGCGGGATTCTAATAATAGAGCGCAGCATACCTTTGAGCGCTGTACGCTAGCGACATCGATCTATGCCAATTCTGTGCTCTAGGTTCATCTATGGGTAGGGTCGCACTTATGTGACGACTGACGAAGCTTCCCTTCATAATATCATGCCTTCATACTATAGCTAATGGTGTTGAATAACGGCAAACTTAATTATGTAGAAGGAATACGATTTTATGGCTTTAGGAGGGAGGACATAAGGGTTCTGTCGTCCCCCTCCGTCAGTGGTGTTTAGTTACCTACAGTTATCGCGCAAACATGGCCATCTAGTATTTTCTTAAATCAAACATCAACACTCAGCTTTAAGTCGGATAAAAATTCACAGTGTCGTGATTTGAAAACTAAGCACACATTTTCAGCGTGTGTTGACACCGCGCCATCTCTGTGCGACAGGTGCAGCAGTGTGGGAGTGAGTATACGAGGAGTGTGGCTCCGGTACAGCTGACACCAGACGTCCGTCCATCGGCCAGTCGCCACTGAACGGACCTCCACCGAACTCCGAAATCTCCAGCCGCCTCGTATCTGGACTGAGGTAAGTTATTTTGTTATTATCTGCGAGTCTAATTTCAAATGGAAAATGTTTTATTGTGTAAACTCAATGAAAGTGTTACGTAAACCTTTATCTATTTTGACATTCCTTTGGCTTTTCAGCTTACATCGAGTCATGCTCCGAAAATCTCATGAATTCGATCTCTGATTTCATATTATAATTGTTTTTATCCATGCTTTTCTGCATGCGTTAATCCCTTCGCACTGGTTTTTCAGGTTCAGCTCACCAGAGGGAGATGCCGGCCCCACTCCAGCACACCACCGGGACCCGCCACAGGAGTCGGCTTACCAGGTGGGTCGGTACACCGAAGAGGCGCTGTATATCTGTTGTGACATATACAGGGTGTCCGGAAAGTTCTGGCGCCTCTTTTGGACGTCGTCTAACGCGCGCTGTGATTATTGGACTTTCAACCAATCACCGCAGATATGACCCCTCGTTCACCGCTCAGCTAGGGGTCGCGTAAATATGACCTTGAAACCGTTTTCAGTGCTAGGTATATGGGCGAAGATGCGCCTTGTCGCTGAGAGCCCGCGCGCGGGGGCCCGGTGCGGCTTGAACGAGGCGCGAGTTGCAACGCGATGCGGCGTTTCCCGGCGAACGGTTGAGCAGGCAAAGGTGCACTCCAGATCGGAAATGTCTTAGAAAATATTCTCACTCAGCTACAACCACGGTATGCCAAAGCTGCTGAGACTGAACCAGCATTTCAGCGGCAATCGAAGAAAATCTTGGGTCTGATGGACACAAATGTCCCATCATCTTCGTCAAGGTCAAATAAATGACTGATAGGCTGGTCCACGAGGGGTTCCTGGACACGACAATCAAGGCGACTTGCCCTAAGGGTCATGTCGCACTTCAACAGCACGGAGCGCCCCCCAACAACGCCGCTGCCGTCCAAACCAAACTGACAGAGGAGCTCGGCGGACCAGATCACCGTGGTGAAATGAGATTAGGCCACCTTATTATCCCAGCCTTAACCCGCTCGACTAAGGCATGCTACGCGTTTTGCAGAATAAGCTCTAGGCCACCTCTCATCCCAGCCTGGAGTCCCTGAACACTCGCATCATGACAGCATGGGAGGACAGGAAATGTCCTACACCGTCAAAACCCGCAGGCGTTTCCGCCCTTGCGTCGAGGCCGTCGTCGGCACAGACGGTGGTTACAATGAATGGGCACTTAGCAGAAGGATGTGGCTTGGTGTTCCTGGTCATTGTTTCGTTCTATTGTTGAGTATCTATGGACCAAAGGCATTTATCTTAACAATGTTGAAAAGCGCCAGGACTTTCCGGACACCCTGTATGTATGGCTACGGCAAACTGGTCCTCGCGTGCGAGTCTACGAGTCTGCGAGTTTTGAGTCCTTGCGAGTCTTTCAAAGTTCAAGAATCCTTTATGCGTGTTACGACACATAGAACTATCAATTTGCCAGCCTATGAGTTTTCAGACGAGTTAATATTGGGCGAACTGTTCGCCTACAAATGTTGCAAGCGTGCTCCGATAGGCGTTCTATGGATCCGATTCCGAGTCGCAGCAAGTGCTTCATCAAGTACGAAAACCGGGACAAAGTCTTACTCAGTTAAAGTTAAAGAAACTTTTTATTATTTGAACTCGTTTACAATTTAAAAAGATTTTATAGGTCTTATTTTCAAACTATCTTCTACTTCTGACAGAATCTCTGACGGAATATTGACAGCGACCAGAGTCAATTGCCCAAAATGTGTTTCATGTAAGTGCACAAAGTCGAGACTCCAGGATTATCCATTTTCAAATCCCACTATACGAGTGGTGTTAACTGTAAAGATAACCTCTGTTTGCAAGATATCATTCACTCGGGCAGTGTGATATGCGTATTGCGTACGCATGTCAGTTTGTCAACGACGATAGAAAATTACTAACAATCTATAAATTGCAGCATATTTAAAAGCTACTTCTTCGCATCCCGCGCATGTAGTGACAGTGAACAACTCTCGGAAACTCACAGACTATTAGAGTTGCATGTTCGCAGACTCGTGGGTACTTGCACGTGAGGTCCAGCGTGGGGCAGCCTGTATTGTGTCGTATTAAGTACAACCGTTCAACCGAAAGTGACGCAATGCTACCGTGGTTTTACGCACGTTTCTTGATCTGTCTAAAGCGTGTTTTTATACGTCAATTTCAAACTTAAAACTTGTTCCCCCCCCCCCCCCCCCCGTTGCCGATCGGCCTCTGATAGAGCTAGAGCTTCGTAGAAAAACGAGCGTGTTGCCCGTGACGACAGGAAGCCGATGATAACCAATTTTGAGTTCCTAGGTCACTGATTGACTTTCCAGGTCAGGTCAAGGCCCAAAAGTCGGGAAAATGGAGCCCTGTCAGAACTTCGTAAAATGAGGTTATTGTAGGGTATTCAGGGGTGCTGATCACGAATGTCATGTCAGTTTTGATCACAGATGATGTCTTCATGGATTTAGGCCAGGTCGGGTCAGCTCTGGTCAGGCCAACCAGTGGGCGTCCTGCCGGCTATCCATAATATGCAGGTGCCAACCACCACTGACTGCTTCGTTACATGTTACGAAGTCATTTGCGAAAAACCGAGGGGGGGGGGGTCCACTCGATAAATGCGCTGGGCAGGTACTCGGCGTCAACAGCGACGGACCGAGGGGGTGTCTGAACACCTCCCCTCCTCTGAATCGGTTCCTGGGTCAAGAAGCGGCACGCGGTAAGCGGCATTCGAAAGAGCGTAAAAATCATGACGACTTTTTCCAATCATTTTCTTTTTCAGTCAGGTCAAAGGTCAAGTCACCGATGGGTATCCAATGTCAAAATTCGGCTGTTTGGAAACTTTTCGACGAACTGACGCATAACTCGGAAAAGAATAGAGCTACGCGGAATAGCGCATTCGATAGCTCTTTCTTTTAACGGCCTTTCTGTGGTATGCCCTCAACTTTGCCCTAAGATCACGAGATGACCCCCATGACCTGAGATGACTTCAGGGACATAAGGAGGGATGACGAGAGCAATTTTCTGATTCAGTGCGTCAAGTTTACCTGCTTCCTGATATTTGACAGTGTTTAGAATGACGTTCGTCCAAAAGGAGCGCCTTTGAATTTTCTTCCATTGACTTATAATGCTACACCGACGCAAATTTGACCGATCGCTCAGTCGTCGGTGTAGCTATGACAAACATTTTAACCTTTTGTGAGGAGAGGTCACTGCAAATTTGACTGATCGCTCAGTCGTCGGTGTAGCTATAACGAATATTTTAACCTTTTCTGAGGAGAGGTCACTTAACGTGACCTGGTGACCTGACCTTGAGAGACCAAGGTCTTTTACAAATTGGGCGGAAAAGATGCATTTGCATGAACACTGAACAGGTGTGCTAAAAACGGCGGCGCGGAGGTTTTGGAGCTAACTGCGAAAAACCGCAGTGGGTGTACGAACACTCCTCGGCACGGCGCGGGTTTACTACGATTTATCGTTTGTAAAAATGACGTGGTTGTTGGGCTTAGTATTATGAATCGATCGAAAATAATCGATTAGGGTGCATATGTTTTAAAATCGTGTCGAAATATAGCCCAAGGATCGACGGCTGATATCTGATTATCATACGCGTCACCTTTATGTGAATTTGGGAGAAAAATCATTGCTTGACATTTTGAGAAATACTTTAATTTCTTAAAATTGCCAAAGATACTCGTCTTGGCACACTCTGAAATCTGGCTGGAGAAATCCACCGGGAAATCCAAGAGCAGGGCCCAAAACGGGCCGCCATTTGTTTACATTAAAATGCTTCCTATTCCAAAAACGTCACCTGTCATTTGAAAGAGGTTAATTCCCTTAACAAAATAGCCCAAAAACATGTCTTTATTTGACCCTCCTGGGCCCAGCTAGACTCAATCCAAAATTCCAACCTAATGGGGCATGCCCTACGACTTCCTTGAACTTTATAGATAGGCAGTTGATATGGTCGATTGTTTTACGTTTGTTATTTTACTTTTTTTATTTTACTTCTTGCTTCCGATCCTGTCATTCCTATAGCTCAACTCATAGAAATTTGAAACTCGATGAATTACATGTAAGACTAAGTACTAAAAATTGCATACATCGGATAAGTTTGATAAGTTGTTATTTCAATTTCATTGACAGATATGTCTTCCACTTGTTCGATGCGTTTAGCTACTATTGGAAGAACCTAGCTTATAGTGACACCAATGGGCAGGTTATAACTCCTTGTTTGTAAAACCAATTAACCTTCCAGGCGGGGGGGGCAATTTTTTGCCCCCCCCCCCCTTTAGTTTTTTCGATATATCTCGAGAACCGCTGCGCCGATCGTCACCAAACTTTCAGTACCCTCCCGGGAGCAGCTAGCGCACATGGTGACCAAAAATTTTTCCAAAGGCTACGATAGGTTGGCTGCTAATGACGTCAGAGTGACGTCATTTTTGCCATTTTCGACCCAAAAAAAAGGTTTCGCGGGAAGAGCTGTCAGGCCTACAGCTTTAGAGATACAGAAAAATGTTTTGACATAAAAGGTGTGGAATTAAAAGAGCTACAAAACTGCGATTTCGGTTTTTCGAATTTTTTTGGATTTTGACCCCCAAAAATCAAAAAATAGATTTTTTGAATATAATAGCCAAAAAATCCAAAACGTTTTTTGAATTTCGAAAAAAACCGGAATATATGTGATAGCCCCTACCGCCTTCTATCTACATACCAAATTTGAGATCGATACCTCTTTATTTGGCCAAGTTATAGCGAAAAAAATGTTCAAAATTGATGACGTCAAATTTTCAAACTCAATTTTTAGCAATTCTAGACCTCGTAGCGCAAAACAAAGACCACCATTAGACTCCCCGTGACTAGCTGCATCGAATCGATACCCATTTTATGCAAAAATATCAACTTTGAAATTTGACCTTTTTTGACCTGACCCTGACCTGACCTCCACCAGAAAGTGACCTAAACCGTACCTGATGGTCTTATAACCAAACCAACACCATTGAGTTGGAAATGAAAAACTGGCCATAAAACATGCATCGCATAACCTTAGTAAAGTTGGGCTCATGTGGTGACCCTTTGGTGACCTGACCTGTGACCTGACCTGGTATGACCAGTGACCTCTAATAGCAACATATGTACTAGACAACTGGCGCCTTATCGCTGATTTTCGACAAAATGCGTTTTACTCGGTGTTATAGCGCTTTCCCTAGAAGCCCCGTGAACGGTGAAACATTTAACCCTATTAGTGGCAGGCTCCTGGCTACCCCCTATTAGTGGCAGGGGGGGCTGTTTACGACCCCCCCTTGATATCTCGAGATCTAACGGGCCGATTTTCAAAATTCAAACGGCATTCGATTTCGCTCAACGTGATCTACATTTCTAAAAAAATAAAAATTAAGAAATGTCAATAGGGGGGGTAGAGGGGGGTAAAAACGGGCAAATTGCAGATACATTTTAGACTGTTTATCACGGCCAGGTTTCTGAACCAATCTTAACGCAACTTTTGCCGATCGATAGAGAATGAACCAGGAATTCACATGGATCCTAAAAATATGCATTTTCAAAAATCATAGGCGGATACAGATCATTGAGATTGGGGGTACACAAAAAGTATAGTAAATAAGGTTTTTGTTGGTACTGTTTCTAAAAAGGGTGGTAATGGTCTTGTTATGTTATAATTTTCTTATGAGAGAACGACTAAAATTGTATTGGTAATGCATAGGCGGTGTCAGGGCACCTATGTTGGGAGGTAAAACATGACCCCCCTTTTTGGACGCCTGGATCCGCCTATTATAGCAAAAACGTGTCAAAAGAGGATGCACAATAACTGTATATGTTATCACATGATACCTTTTATTCACTGTTCGTAAAACTGGTGCAGCATCGTGATCTTCGCCCAAATGACTCGCTTCACGAATAGGACCCCCCAATTCCCAGTGCTCTGGAGCCGCCCCTGGTAAAGTTATGAACTTGAAATTTTCAGGGAATGTGCCCAATTTAGTTTTAGGAAAAGTCAGAAAATTTCAGCATCGTAGCTTCAGCGGTTTCGGAGATATTCCCGAAAAACCTGAGGGGTGGATAAAAACAACCCCCCCTGCCACTAATAGGGTTAATCTTTGACCTAACCTGTGACGTCATCGGTGACCCCAAGGTCAATGAAATTTGGTTTCCCTCGACAAATTTGACAGGGCTATCGAACGCCGTTTGAATTTTCCGGATCCGTCCAGTAGTTTCGGAGATACGGGGGGGCAAAAAAGTGCCCCCCCCCCCACCGCGCGGAAGGTGGCTGGTAGGCCCACCGCCTACCGGGTTAAAGATAAGAGATGACGTAAAACTGATGTGGGAGAAGGCACAGTAAGTTGTACGACAGTCACAGTATTGCACTGATAGGTTACTGAGTTTTTCTTTTTGCGAGTATCCCTGCCTCAGTCAATGGCTGGTTAGTACTATAATAGCATGTCTTAACATGAGTTGGCTTTAAAAAGCTTGAAGTTGTGAAAGTCATAAGTTTTGTGAAAATGCACAACTAGCTGATATTAATTGGGCTTTAAATTTATTTCGGATTTTAATTAATTTATTTGAATAAATTTTACAATTTAAATTATAAGTTAAAACGAATAACTTAGAGATCATTTCTTTCGAACAGGTTATCGCTGGGAGGTAAAATTTGCATGAGCTTTGGACATCTTTTCAGCAATCCTCGTATAACTCTTGAACAAGAAGAACTAGAGAGTCTCAGAAAAGCGCGTTCGGTATGTCGTTCCACTGGTATTTCAATGAGTTTTACTGCAGGTCAATGGTTAGCCCCACAGAGAGGGAAAACCACCAAAATAAACGAATTTTGCCGAAACAACTTGTTCCGCAGAAACTTTGGCGTCGATATTTGTATGATGCTTATTCTGCTAGCGTAGTATTACGCTGGAATTGTCAGACGCGAAATGAACTAAGCGGACCCGAAAATGCCAATCTGATGATTTTATTTCACGTAAAACTCATGACCTGACCAGAAAAGGCAGTGTTGCAAATCAATCGATCAGTGTTGACTACCCAAACGATATATAGTTATTAGTATATTAGTTATTAGTATTAGTATTAGTATTAGTTATCAGAAGTTATTATCGAAAAACCGCTGGTGACCTTTCATGACCTAGCAATGCATGTCCTATTGAATGACTGCAGACTGCAGACGAACCCTGTCATTTGCGTATGGGTAGAATGTTCATGTTTCCTTTAATATCTTGTGGTTTTGACAGATTTTGTCAAAGCAGTATGGAATTTGTGCTTCCCCTTGCTTTAGGAGTATACCGGCTACAATGGTAGGGTCATAACTCTCCTCTAACCCCAAGGTACAGATATGAAAATCCGAGATATGCAAATTGTTAGTACTAAGGCTCTGATGCAATTCGTCGAGTCTCAAAATTTTAGGAGTTGAGCTGTAGGAATGACAGGAACGAAGTCATCGGAGAATCAAAGGGGGACAACAAGTTTCCCCTCCCCCCCCCCTATCGGCTAGCAACGGCCGCTGGGCCGCCGCCAACCGCTACCTCAATAATAATATTGGAATGAGTTGTTAACACACGAATGAATCTATTTCATTTTCGCAAATATGTGCATTGTGCAGTATATAATTTGTATGTAATGTGAGTGTAAATGTGTGCGAAAATGTGTTCTTTGAGCATGATGAATATCAATAAAAATGTTAGGATTGATATTAATATGAGCATAACGTCAATCCTAACATAGCGTAAATGTCTTAAATGTTTTCGTAAGTGTGTAGTCCGTTCGTCTGAAGTTCGACCCTCACTGTAACCATATTTTTTAAAACAACACGAGATTTCATGAGTCAATGATTGGGAAGGTTCGTCAAGGCACGTTGTATTAAAGAGATGAATAATATTTATTCTAAAAATAATCCAAGTTCATCATTTGCGAATTGCAATGAACGCCTACAAGTTTTCAGACTAATTTCTCCACCTAAGTTCGTGCTCTGTTCAGAGCCGTTTACAGTAAGGGTCAAACTTAAAAACAGGCTGTATAGTTGTGCCCTACGTGTTGTACTTTGTATATATGGGCCCCAGCCATCGTCTGATAATCAGGAGTCAAATGTCTAAATAATGTTTTCATTCAGTTTTACGTCCCGGTGTGATTCCTGTGTAAGATGTAGAAAAATGGCTCTAAAGTTACGGTGGCCGTCTTGCTCAACTTTCCCTATACATTAGGTATTTGACTATGCCTACATATTTCCAAACCCCAATCATATATTCCTGACGTTCTTCCTTCTTCTTCCACAGGTTGTTTGCACGCGAAGATCTTCAAACAAGGAGCGTCAAGAGTCGGAGAACAGAGGAACCGCGTCTAACGGGGGAGGGAGAAGGGGGAGAGGGGTAATCAGGTCGGAGGTAGCGTGCCTGCCTTCTCCCTTGATTATCCCCTCCCCTATCATGTGTAAGGGAGAGGGGTAATCCGGGGGGACGGAGGTAGGCGCGCCTGCCTCCTCTCCTGATTATCCCCTCCCCCTATCATGTGTGGGGGGAGAGGGGTAATCGGGGAGACGGAGGTAGGCATGCCTGCCTTACCTCCTGATTATCCCCTCCCCTAGCGCGCGGAGGGGGGGAAGGGGTAATTTGGGGAGGTAAGTGTCCCTGCCTCCCCTGATTATCACCATGTGCGAGGGGGGGGGGGTAATCCATCCCCTGCTGTGTATAGTTGTGCGCGGGGGGGGGGGGGGCTATGTCATACATGTGAAGGAGAATACATACATGTCATCTACCGGAAGGAGAAAAATACATGTGACACCACTTCTATTGATCTTTTTATTCCATGCAAACAACACACGTATGCCACCATCCCTCCCCACGTACACCCCCCCCCCCGTTATTGGTTGGGAGAGAGGGTAACAGGGGTCCCCCGGTGGACCTGTGTCGGGGACGCGAGTGTTGGGTGGGGGAGGGGCTCAGCCAGGTGGTGACTACCGTTCCCGGTAGCCACCACCTGGTGACCAACACCCCCCCCCCCCCAACAGACACGTCCCCGACCAGTGCCGCGGACGTGCGGGTTGGGTGGGGGGGGGGCGGTCAGCCAGGTGGCGACTACCGTTCCCGGTAGCCACCACCTGGTGACCAACACCCCCCCCCCCCCCCAACAGACACGTCCCCGACCAGTGCCGCGGACGTGCGGGTTGGGTGGGGGGGGGGGCGGTCAGCCAGGTGGCGACTACCGTTTCCGGTAGCCACCACCTGGTGGCCGACCCCCCCCCCCCCAAACACGCACGTCCCCGACACGAGTGATCCACCAGGGACCACCCTGTTACCCTCCCCCACCCAGTATAAGTACTTGGGTGGTATGTCTGGGCTCCAACATACCACCCAAGTATGGGAGGGGGTAATGAGGAGAGAAGTCAGGTAAACCTGCATTCCTCCGATTACCCCCTCGGACACCATCAGTCACATTCAGTGACTGTTGCGCGACACCACCGGCTCTCCTCCGATTCCAACCCGCTGCTGCGATGTTCTTCACTGTGCTGATGGTGTCTGTGGTCGCCCGGACTGCAGAGGAGACCGGCGCCGGTCGAAAAAGACCTGCGGAAGAAGAAGGAAGGATGTCAGGGATGTGTATTATCTGACTTGACATGTTAGAGAAGTCATGCTGGCCAAAAATACACGATAGTATAAGCATCGGTAGTCGGTACCATTGTATATTTTTTGTGTATTACAGTGACATTGTATATTTTAAACATGCAAACCTATGGGGGTGACTATCTTCATCCGTGTTTTGAACATAAAGTTTTGTTATCGTTTTTTTTTTTTAAGAAGAACTGAAAAAGGGGTGACTTTGCCAAATTGCCACCATGCAAAAGAATTTAAAAGAACATAATATTTTCAAGTACTTTTTCCATTGTACACCCTGCACCCTGCACCCTGCATTGATGACATTTAAAGTGACCATCCACCTTAACATTAGTTTTGAGTTGAGATTGCCAAATTGGTGGCCATGGCCTGAAAATACCGGTTTGGGCACTCACAACATCGAAAAATGCTTTAATTCGGAGATATGGAATTTCAAACTTGCAGTTTTCGGATTCTAAGGGGCTAATGCATTGGAATGCCCCCTTAGAATTTGTGACGTCAGCGGAGATCTAACAATTTTTAAATCTTTTACTAAAACGTTTGGTAGCACGCGGTGGTACATGCTGCTTTGCGCGCAACAAGTGCCGCACTTTCAAATAAAGTCGCCAGGAACAGCGGAGATCCCAAAAAGTAAACAAAGGTAAAAGTCTAATATCTTGAAAACCGGTGAATATTTTTCGATGAAATTTGGTAGATATTCGTTTTCGCTCTTTCTGAACCGAGCGACATCACTTTCATGCCAATTCATTAACTTTTTTGAAGGTGGGAGGGTCCCTTTAATGACATGAAAAGAGGGAAATGGCATTTCGATTATAAATGACAACTTGAAAATGGTCGAGAATAGCTAAAATAGACAGAGATATGATACAGAATTCGACAGAAAAGAGAAAGAGGAAATTTTTGCGGCAATTTACCGCCACCCTCATTACCAGTGGTTTAATCTATAAATGGTGCAGATTGCCCTAAAGCCTTTTCGAGAATCGTGGCAAAGTCACTCCCGTTTACGGTATCGTTTGTCGATAACAAGTGTCACTTGTCAGACATATCCGGGCGCAGCGGCCCTCGGTGCCAATAGCGGACCGCCCGGGGGCAGGTCGGGCGGCAGGGGCGGAGCCAGGCACACGGTGGAGTGGGGTAGGGAGGGAGGGGCAGCGGCCGAGGTGGCACCGGGTCCGAGGTCCGACCACCGTCTCCCGCCGCCTCGGTAGCGAGGTTGGTGAACATCAGGCTTCCACCCGGCAGTCCAGGGTTCAATTCTGGTCTCCGCCCGGCAACCGGGGGCGGTCGCGCTACGGTGCGACCGCCCCTGCGGCCGGCGGTGATCAGAATTGTTCCTTGGATTGTCGGGTGTAAGTTGTGATGTTCATGAGGCCCCGGGCCAGTAAGTCCGGGGCCGCGCACACCACAACTATATATTTGTTTCGACTGCATCTCCCCAAATTTTGGTAGCACAACTAAATATCCATGCCACGAATCCAACTTGATTCTTGGCGTGAATATAAACAGTTGTGCTACCAAAATTTGAAGGAATGTAGCCGAAACTATACGGTTGCCAGAGAGTACGGTCATGAAATACAGGTGTAAACCGTACGTACAAAAAGGGGTTTGACACCTATCATTTAATTAACCGATTTAGGTACAATGAAAGCCATGATATTATTATACAAATAGAATAACGCTTCATTCCAGGAAAGGTCGCAGCGTAAATATGTTTTAGAACGAAGCCCGTCGTGCAGCAATCATTAAGCATTAATAATATTCAATGAATATCCTAAATGAAATCTACTCGTTCAAGATATCTTTTCCGCTTTATGACCTTCTTTTTTAAGAAATACGTTTAAGTATACCAATATCACTTTTATGTTCGTTTTGGTACGAGGCGCTTGAATAAGACAGACGAATTTTTTGTTACATGGTAAAACGGAAAACGAGTGAATATATCCTTTATCTTTTATTTCTTCGCCTGTGATTTATTGTGTTCATTGCCGCTTGAGCATCATTTCCCAAACGTGATTAAACGTTAGAGGAGACATGGCAAAATGGTACAGAGGGATGCATTATTCGCAACCGATTTTAACAGAAGCTCTTAACCCGCGACCCGTTGGGGTCTGCCGAGCTACCGAGCAGCGTTGGGGGGGGGGGCATTTTGGCCCCCCTTCCTAAGATCTCGAGAACCACGCAACATAGCGACAAACAGCAAAGTGCAAACCGTGTTGGATAGCCCCAATGGGGAACTGTGACCAAATTTCATTGACCTCGGTCAAACCGATGACGACACAGGTCAGGTCAAATGTCGAATTTTCACCGTTTAGAGGCATTTCAAGAAATGTATTGTAAAATCGAGTAAAATGCTTGTCATTGAAAATTATTGATAGGGAATTGCTCGTCAAATACATATTTTGCTATTTGAGGTCACTGATACCAGGTCAGGTCACAGAGGTCAGGTCACTGAGGGTCATAATATGAAAATATCATGTGATGCATGTTTTATGGTTCATTTTAGATGATAAATGCGATTATGTGGGCCAGGTAGCCTTTGGGGCCAGTTTAGGTTACTTTCTGATGAAGGTCAGGTCAAATTAGGTCAAATTTCAAACTTGATATTTTTGCCTACAATGGGTATCGATTCGATGCAGCTCGTTACGGGGAGTAATGGTGGTCTTCAACGTGGTGAATCCAACGTGAATTCAACGTTCAACAAATTCAACGTGAATTGCTCAAAATTGAGTTCAAAAATTTGACGTCATCAATTTTAAACAATTTTTTCCCTATAACTTGGCCGAAAAAGGAGTTATCTATCCAAAATTTGGTATGTAGATAGAGGAGTTCAGGGACTATCATATATATGCTGTTATGGGAATTTTTTATGCTTTTTCAAAACAAAAAATATTTTGGGGGTCAAAATCCCAAGATTTTCATACTCTAAGATAGCAGTTTTGTAGCGCTGTCTTTTCTCTACACGACCACATACAGAACTTTGAAATTGCTTGTTAACTGTAGATTTTGTGAGCGTTTCAAGATGTCATGTTTTTTGCTCATTTTTGCTCGAACATGACCTCAATTTGACCTCAGTAACTCCTGACCTAAGGTGACATATGACTTAAATGAAGGTGTCAAATTGATGCCGGAAAGGTACCTACTGAAAATTTGGCGGCGCTGCGCGCCGTTGTTTTCTTGCTATTCAGGAAAAACCACAGGGGAGGCCATATTGCCCCCCCCCCCCCCCAGGGGGACGGTTAATAAGCTAAATTCAAATTCATGAGAAGCTGTAAAAAAAAATTGCTAAGCTTATTATTGATTATATCAATCCTATCATATCCTAGGCTCCTAGGTTGATCTCTATTATGGTGTGCCCCCAGTCTGAAAGTGGTTCCCGCGCCCCTGCTTTGGTCCTTTCTTTTAAGTCATGTGATATTTCAGGCCAACGGAAATCACATCAACATTTTCCTATTCGGGCTTTCTTGGATTAAGTTACTATGAATCGCGAAATAATACAGCCACAATATCGCAAGAATTTGATAGCACTTTTAACGGTGCTTGGCGCCGGCCCGGGGGTTTTTACTCACCCTCCTCTAAATCGGCCCCTGGGCCATCTAGCGACGCGCCGTACCCATGACTTTAAAAATTATGACGAAAATACTTCAGTCATGTTTTGGGTCAGGTCATCAGAGGTCAACAAAGGTAAGAGGGTAGGGTACCCCAACTGTGGCACGTGAAAATGCATTGCCTAGTGGGTGCCTACCTACATGCCAACTTTCAGCACAATCGGCCCAGTAGTAAAAAAAAATATTGCAATTGGTACAAAACTGACACCTCTTCGTTTTGCACGTGGCACGTGCCTAAGGTGTCACCCACGTGCATCGAAAATAGTCCAATACTTGGTAGAAGGAATAAGGCTGCCTTACAAAAATTAACGCAAATGATTCGGTGCTGAATATTTTTCGGTCAAGTGGTTGCTGAGATATAAGCTTCGCAAAAGCGTCCGCACGGCCGGCTGAGAAATTTCTTGATGGTGTGAAGTGCTTTAGCGAGGAACATGGCGATAATAAATACGTGAAGAATCATTGACCTTTTCCACGAAAATGTAAAAACAATGCCAAATTTATATTTAATGCGGTGAGCTTTCGGCTACAAGCCTCCGTCAAACCAACAAAATGACTGGTATCGTGTCATTTTGTTGGTTTGACGAAGGCTTGTAGCCGAAAGCTCACCGCATTAAATATAACTTTTGGCATTGTTTTTAATTTTTGAGAAATTTCTTGCCCATTCTTTCTTTTAAAATCGAATTTCCTTTGATTTGTTTAGTAGCTCATTTAAACCACATTCCTCGCACTAAAAAATAAGCATGCATAGCAAACGTATGGGTAGTCATCCATTGTGTCGATTTTCAACACGATATCCAGAAATAGTCCGCAGATCTAACAGTCTATCCCTCGTTATTAGGCTTAATAAAGAGATCATTACAAATGACATTTACGGAGCACCTTACAAACAGCAAAATGGTAATGCAACGTCATTGGATTCATGAGCTGAACATGCCGCTAGTTTTTTTTTGTAAAGATTTGTCAGCCGGAAAAAAACTTTTACCTGACCCTTACCTGAACCACAACTGAAATGGACAAAATTGGTCTCCAACTATAGTCAGACTATGTTTCTAAGTCCCAGCAAACAAAGTTGAATTAGTCATTAATAACTTCAATAACGCTTTATCAACATTTTAGTTGAAAGAAGATCGATATCTTAGACGCTAATTGAATGTGAAAATGTTTTATTTTGAACGTTGACTTGAATATAACCTGTCACATAAAATCATAATTCAAACTCTAGAATTATTTCAGATGCATATTCGTGAGACCCTCGCAACGCCGCCTCGCGCATCTCGCTAGGCAAAATTCAGTTTCGGTGATGATCGGGGGGGGGGGGGGTGAGCGATATTGTTCTGTTGGAGTTTTAGTGTAGCGCGGGACTATAAGTGAAACATTCCAGGTTAAGTCCATTTTTTCAGATATGGTTTGGGTCTAAGTTTTTCATCGAAGCTGTCGCGTGAAAAGGGACATCGCTTGAATCTGAACCAAAAAACCCAATCGTTTAATTCTTTAAACTGGCTTGTTCTGGTTTGCACTACATAAATAAAATAGGCTTACAAAAATGTCTTCTATGACGACGTCACCACAGAAATGTAGCTATCGAAATCTTCCCATGATGAACGGATTATAATGGGAATTAGGGAATAAGTAATGTGATACAAATTTTGTTTACGCTTCATTTTACTACGTTCGCATTAAATCGCTTAACCCTATTAGTGGCAGGCTCCTGGTATACCCCTATTAGTGGCAGGGGGGGGGGGGGCTGTTTACGACCCCCCTTGATATCTCGAGATCTAACGGGCCGATTTTCAAAATTCAAACGGCATTCGATTTCGCTCAACGTGATCTACATTTCTAAAAAATAAAAATTAAAAAATGTCAACAGGGGGGTAGAGGGGGGTAAAAACGGGCAAATTGCAGATACATTTTAGACTGTTTATCACGGCCAGGTTTCTGAACCAATCCTAACGCAACTTTTGCCGATCGATAGAGAATGAACCAGGAATTCACATGGATCCTAAAAATATGCATTTTCAAAAATCATAGGCGGATACAGATCATTGAGATTGGGGGTACACAAAAAGTATAGTAAATAAGGTTTTTGTTGGTACTGTTTCTAAAAAGGGTGGTAATGGTCTTATGTTACAATTTTCTTATGAGAGAACGACTACAGTTGTATTGGTCATGCATAGGCGGTGTCAGGGCACCTATGTTGGGAGGTAAAACATAACCCCCCTTTTTGGTCGCCTGGATCCGCCTATTATAGCAAAAACGTGTCAAAAGAGGATGCACAATAACTGTATATGTTATCACATGATACCTTTCATTCACTGTTCGTAAAACTGGTGCAGCATCGTGATCTTCGCCCAAATGACTCGCTTCACGAATAGGACCCCCAATTCCCAGTGCTCTGGAGCCGCCCCTGGTAAAGTTATGAACTTGAAATTTTCAGGGAATAAGCCCAATTTAGTTTTAGGAAAAGTCAGAAAATTTCAGCATCGTAGCTTCAGCGGTTTCGGAGATATTCCCGAAAAACCTGAGGGGTGGATAAAAACAACCCCCCCCCCCCTGCCACTAATAGGGTTAAGCGGGGGCACAGTCGGGAAAATCCCTGTGGTCAAACCATGTTTGAATAAAATACGAACTATAATCAACAGTCAATACACTTCTGCAGTATGGCAAACGTTAGAAAGGCCGATCTGAATTTTGAAAGTTCAACAGCCACGTGCATTTATATTGAGTCGAATATATTTGAGAACATTTTTCCCGGAGTTTTCAGACGTATTTTCTTCAGCAGCTATGCATTTACAGTGACCATAGCATAGCAACCATAGTATGTGATTCAGGGACTACCTGCGGCCTTTCGTACGTATGCCAGACTCATGGTCCCCGGCCCTTCCCAAATATGACCCACCTACGAGCGGCTCCAGCGGCAGGTCACGGAGGACGGTCAGTTGTCAGCTGGACACCAGCGCCACCTGTCAGCGACAGGACAAACCATTAGTTCATCCAGTTGCCAACGAAAATTACATGTCAGTCAGTTCACGGTCACACGATAACGAGGTTCGTAATAAAAGACACGGAAGAAGGTTGTCTAAACAATATTTCATGTTAATAATACAACTTAAATCGCATGTCGACAACATACCTCATTGATTTCAAAACAAGTAGGCATTCAGACAGAACAGATTCAGTCGGTAACTCAATGATAAACCCAACGTCATCCCAGTAGGCGACTTACCGAGTCAAGTGGGTCACGTGATCCCTGGAAGTGACGTCCATTGGTTGGTGTACTGGAGCAGTGTCCCCAACTCGCGAACTGCCAGCCGTACCTACATGAAACAAAAACAAGGTTGAAATCAGTTTAGGAAGCTAAGCAAAGTCTCTCATCCAAACTATTTAGAACCTAGTGCGAATCGCGTGTAACGTGTGAAAAAGTGTAATTAGCTCGTTAATTGGTACTTTGACGCGCACCAATTGCAATAATCATGTGGCACTCATACAGAGTGTATTTGGTTAATGTGACTTTAGGCGCACGACTTCCAAGGTCAAGTGCAGCGCCCATATAGAAAGTTGGCTTCACTTGAACACACATTTGATCCGTAATTGCAGGCGTATGTCATACCTAGTTGTGAGAGAGCTGGAGTTTCCATATGCCGCAGTCCAGTTTTGACCGGCAGATGGACGTTTATCTCGGTACCAACAGCGGTACACGTACTGCCGCACATGAGCTATGGTCTGTGGGAGAAATGACACAATGCTATAAATACACTGCAGTAATATAGCCGCTCTATCGCAAAGCACAACATATGCAGTGAAAAGTAAATGGAGTGGCAAAGTAGACGATGGTGTCATAAATTAACTGCTGCAATATCATTAAAACATTCCTGCAAGATAATCCATTGCAATACTAAACCGCTGATTAAGATCCGTTGCAGTTTTGCATTACAGCGCGGGAGTCCCTGACACTGTCCACAAGGCCCACCTGTGAGGGGCTCCTTCGAACAGGATGAAAGGACCAGACGCTCGGACGGCCCCCAGCAGAAATCAGCACCACCTGTCGGCGACAAGACGAACTATTAGTTCACGCGTTTGACGACATAAAGTACAATACGCTAGGTTTCTATACAACACGGTTACGACACAAAAAATCAAGTTGTCACGACAAAATTTCCTTTAAAACATACACTTAAGATGTTATATCGAGACGATACCTCATCGATCTTACAGCTAGTAGCAGGACAGAATAGTAGAAGTCGGTAATTCTATTCTATGTGTGATAAACTCATTTTAGTCTCGGTGCACCGACTTACCAGGTCAAGTAGGTCACGTGATCCATTGAAGTGACGTCCATTGGTCGGTGTACTGGAGCAGTATCCCCAGCTCGCGAACTGCCAGCCGTACCTACATGAAACAAAAACAGTGGAATCAGTACAGGAACTCTTGCAAAGCCATTTCACAAACCAGAGAGGGCGAGGGAGAGGGAGAGGGAGAGGGAGAGGGAGAGAGAGAGGGAGAGGGAGAGAGAGAGAGGGGGGAGAGAGAGAGGGGGGGAGAGGGGGAGAGGGGGGAGAGGGGGAGAGAGAGAGAGAGAGAGAGAGAGAGAGAGAGAGAGAGAGAGAGAGAGAGAGAGAGAGAGAGAGAGAGAGAGAGAGAGAGAGAGAGAGAGAGAGAGAGAGAGAGAGAGAGAGAGAGAGAGAGAGAGAGAGAGAGAGAGAGAGAGAGAGAGAGAGAGAGAGAGAGAGAGAGAGGAGAGAGAGAGAGAGAGAGAGAGAGAGAGAGAGAGATGAATGAATACTGAAGAGCCGTTTCACTCCAAACCAAAAGTATCGATATTCGGTAGTTGATTGTGGCTAAAGGTTGAATCAACTGAGTATGGCGATGTGGCGCCCCGCCCACACTTAAAATGTATTTCATTTGGAATTTAATTTAATTCATAGTTGTAGGCGTATGTCGTACCTTGAGAGAGCTGGAGTTTACGTCTGCCGCAGTTGAGTTTTGACCGGCAGATGGACGTTTCTAATATCGGTACCAACGGCGGCACACGTACTGCCGCACATTGTGGTCTGTGGAAGAAATGGCACGATGCCATGATTACACTGCATGGGAGCACAGCCTCACTATCACAAAGCATAGAATGCGTACAAAAATTACTGCTGGATTGACAGTCGGGAAGATGCGATCGACTTACGATTTTAGGAAGGATGCACGTATGATTTTCATTTTTGCAAGAAATATCAGAATAGCAAACCACAACACAACTTGAACTAAAATGTAAACCTCACGCTCGGACCTCGCTGTAAGTGTAGGAAAAGTAAAATTAAATATTACATTGACGAATTGTAAGCCAGACCAAACAAATTCGAACCGAACCAGCAAGCATAAATCTTGTTGATGAATTATAATTCTAAAAGGGAATGAAATTGTTACTTCTGACTTTACTTCTGAATTTCCCACAAGTGAACTTTTAACCCATACCGACATTAATTACATTAATGAAACGATTAATAGAACATTAATAAACCGACCGGAGAAAAGCGTCCCAACCCAAACCATTCGGTGATTCGGCAGAAAGTACTGCTTGATGTTCAGATATAGGTAGCGCCAGCTAACTGCCCCTCACCCACCACTTGTGCACGCCAAAACAATCTCTTAAATAATTCTAATATCGGGCTGGCTTACCTCGTACAATAATTGAAACTCCATCCAGAAGCCGTCACCGCGCCGGGAGCAGCACCGCACACACCGGCCGCTGGTAGCGAAAGCCCGCGCGCGCGCCGGACCAGCCTCGCTCCGGCCGCCCGGCCACCGCCCGGGGGCAGGTCAGACGCAGGGGCGGCGTCAGGGATGGAGCCGGGGAGGGCGGCGGCAGACACGTGGGGCGGGCAGAGGCGGTGCCAGGCATGGAATCTGGGGGAGCAGCGGTGCTGTTTTCTTCAACTTCTTCGCATTCAAATGCTTAGTACCACTAAGCGGTACAAAGAATTGGTACGCCTTGGTACCGAACAAGAAAGGACGTGACAATACTTGTCAAGAGAACGACTACAGTGAAGTTGGACGCCTGGGTCGCAAGGCTTCGCGTAATATTCCAGCAGCAACAACAACGATAACTTCTTCGCATAATGTGTATGGCGTGTTGTGTCCGTATATAAAGCCCCATGACTGTTGATGCTGCAATTTTTTATCCTGCAATGCCTAAAATGACCTGTTCCGATTAAAAGCATCTCACGTGTAAGGCATTCTCCATCCTTCTCTCGCAACCTCAGCGACAAATTTTTGTTTCATTTCTAGCGTTCCCGCGCCCAGTCTAGTCGTGTCGTGTAATATTTTGGGCTTTATATCAGCATAAGCTTTAGCTGCCAATTAGTGGCAAGCTAAATACTTTTTCTGCAAAAGCTACTCAGCCGAGATTTATACGATATTTTGTTCCGCTATGATCGAAACAACGAATATTGCAAGCACTTCAATGCCACTGTAAACACACCATTTAAATATTTGCAGGTAAATTTATTACAAATCTATCTTTGCACATAGCGTATAATGACATAACAAAAGCGTATCTACACACATTCACAAAGTGCGGCGTCACATCTAAAAGGGCCGCTGCCACACAATATGGACAGAGGACGTATTTATAAAATGCTCTCGGGGACAACACAATGTGTACGTCCGGACGTCTCTGCCCCCAGGCACTGATGTGTGACGTCATCTCCTGCTCTGGTGACGTCACCGACACCACAAAGCCGGCGGGCCGGCAGTCAGGTACTTACAAGGAGTCGGCTCCGTCCCACAGAGCAGTCAGACACGCCTAAATGCCGCCCATGGCGCGGAATCTACGCCAGACGTAGTTTGAATGATGAGCAAGGCCTCAGTTGTGAAGCCAAGCGATGTCTAAGTGGCCAACCACGCCCGGTCATCGCAAACTGTCGCACAATGTCGCAAAACGTCGCGCCCCGTCCACAGCACAGCCTTCTTACCCTCACAGATCTCATCTCTCCCTCGTCTTTCTTCATTCTTAAACTTTCCATCGCATTTTGTCGTCTAGCCATAAGAGCACACAACGAAAAACGTCACTAAAACGACACGCGCCCGCTCTTCAGTGTCCCTCGCTCTCCCCAATCCCGCCAAAACAGATGCCAATCACGCATCGCCACGTCACAGATGACATCACACACATGTATGACGTCACACGGCTGACTAGAGGCACCGTCTCGCCTCTCGTATTCAAAACAATACCTCCACAGCCACACACTCGCTCAGAATTTCCAAAATACCGTTTTCCGTTCATAAAATAGCAGAGCGACATCTCTGGACAAGTTGACGAAGCACACCTGATATCGGTCTTAGCTGAACCGGACCTCGCCGCGGCCAAGGCGCATTGTCAATGTTTCAGAGGAAAACATTACACCATCTGGGGGTGTAACATAGCACAAAAATAGACAAACACCATCTCTGTGTGTTCCGAATACACTCGGCCGTGTGCGCTCAGCTAAGTGCCTGCATGATTAAACACAAGTGAGACGGCAGAGCTTCCATCTCACGGTTCACATCAATTACGGTAAATCCGTTGTACTGAATCCGTTCGCAAGCCGCCTCCTGCGATTTGATTGTCTCAAGATGACCCCTTTCTCCTCTTCCCGTCTTCTCTCTTCTCTTCCTCCCCATCCCGTTCAAAACATCTCCCTTTCTCTCAAACAATCGCCGGTTAACCATCCCCCACCCAAATCCTCCGGACGCACGAGTCAGCCGCCCCGGCGCACCGGTCGTCCGCTCCCCTACACCCCCGGCTCTCGCCGAATGGTCTGACAGCGCGGGTCATAGAACCCAGCCCGGTAGAAGGTCTCGTTGTCGCCACTGGAGACCGTCTGGCGGTATTCCGCCAGGCTGAGCACCTGACATCGGTGGCTGATGGTCTGGACGTCATTGTCGTCCATGTGTGGTGACTCGAACAGGCCGCCCTGTGGGGGAGCGGGGAGGGTTATTAACGGGACTAGGGACGCAGCAAATCTTCCTATGAGGAGGCGGAAGGTCAGAATTGAAACCAGAGACACTGAAGATAAACCTGTGGGAAAGAAGACGGTCAGAAACGGAAAGTAGGGACAAAGAGGACTACCCAAATGGAAGGTAAAGAGGGTTAGAAATGAGAGCAAGGGACAGAGAAGTCTTACCTATGAGGAGGGGATGGGTCAGAAATAGATATAAGAGACACAGAAGACTACTACTCTACAGGGAAGTGGGAGGGCGAACCCACAGCAAAGTACTACCGCCGATGTAAACTACTGTGAACTTCTATTAGTCATAATTACTGCCATAAAAACTATCCTGTGGTAGAAAATAAGGTACCATCTGTGGGGTTACTGATACGTCACCGTCAACAAATTACCCTATATTTCATCCACCTTCTCATTCACTCCCACGCCACACACACACCCCGGCGCGTCATCTCACCTTGGGTTCGGCCAGGGGCCGATCCAGGCCACACGTCTCCTCCGGATGATAGAACCAGGCCACTTGCACCAGCATCTGACCCGACGTGGTCTCCCAGAGAGCCTGAATCCTCCCCACGTACGGCCGGTCAGGCAGGCCAGCGGACAGGAACACGGCACAGTCTCCGACGGCAATGCGCTCAGCGCCGCGGACGATCGCCTTGTAGACCTCTCGCTTGGCCTTGCCCTTGCTGGCGGAGCGTTTGACGCCCTTGCCGTCCCAGTCCCAGAGCTGTCGCTCGGGGAGGAAGGCCGCCATACCGGACGGGTGGCGCTGGCGGTTCGACTGGGGAAAGAGCGATACTGGGTTAAACCAGATAAATATACAATATGGAATCAGCTACCAGACCAAGGGCCATGCAATGGTTTACCACTAAAGCATTACGCCTTATGAGCGTCGCATGCAAAGAAACAACTTTGAAACAATGAGGTTAGTGCTTGTGCGAGGAACATGTTCATAAATAGTAGAAAATGTAAAAACATGACCTTATTTCCTCGATAATTGCCAAAACTAATGCTGTACAAATATATACTTTATTTGAAAAAATGTAATATTTCGACCACAGGTCTTTCTCAAACAGTTTCAAATTAGAAAAGATGATTGAAATTTTTCTAATTTTTCTAATTTGAAAACTGTTTGAAAAAGACCTGTGGTCGAAATATTACATTTTTTCAAATAAAGTGTATATTTGTACAGCATTAGTTTTGGCAATTATCGAGGAAATAAGGTCATGTTTTTACATTTTCAACTTTGAATCAAGTTTAAATAGGTCTTCATCCGGTCTAGGGGTCAGCCAGTGGCGTAACATAGAACGTATTTAACAGACAAGATAAACCGTACTAAATATAACGACTGCCTTTCTCAACAACACATTTACCCTAGCGTCACAACACGAGTGTCATGTTCGTCAATAGGAAACATGGTATGTACTGATAAAAACAACGAAAGTCAGCGCGATGGTACCTCACAGGCATGAAAAAAAATCAAGATCCAGCATTGTCACTCACCTCGCCCTTTTTCTTCTTCTTCCCTTCAGCCGAGTGGTGTCGATCTCTCGTCTCCTCCTTCTCCTGTTTCCGGCTGGGACTGGGCGACTTGATCCTCAGCTTCAGGTCCGACTCCTGTTCCACCACGTAGCCGTCCGAGGCGGCCGACTCTCGCCTCTTCGCCGCCTTCTTCTTCTTTTTCTCCGCGCGCTCCTCGGCGGTGAGAGGCGGCGAGCCGTCCACAGAGTCCCTCTTCTTCTTCTTTTTCTTTGGTGCCTCATCGCCATTCTTGTGGCTGTGATGTTTCTTGTGGCCATTCTGTAAATGATGGTTCCCGTTCTCCTCATGTTTCGAAGCTTTCTTCGATTGTTCGGATTTCTTCTTTTTGGACGGTTCTGTCTTTCTATCTTTGGTGTGTGCGGACTTCTTTGATTTACCGCCCTCGAGATGCCTCTTCGAGTCGCTAAGCATCGACCCGTCTCCCTTCTTTTTCAAGCTGCCATCAACCTTCTTCCTCTTCTTCATCTCTCCCTTCTTCCCTTTCACTCCATCCGATCCTCTCCCAGCCTCTCCTCCATCCATTCCATTAGTGGACTCGTCTACCGAAAGTAACCTCCCCTCCTTCTCCACATTGGACTCGTCCTTCGCCTCCTCCGTCTGTCTGCCGTTGGCGGCCGGGGCCGGGGCCGGGGCGGGGGCGGGGGTCGTGGGTGGGTGATGCTCCCACCGCTCCTCTCCCACGCTCTGACGGCTGGCGGCCCTCTGACTGGAGGTCACTGAAGTCCCCGAGGAGGCCCGACGCCTCCTCCGACTCAGTGTGTCTAACGGGTCTTGATCGTGTTCTGTGAACATAGATAAATACAAAGTCGTCAGGCGGAGAGAGTCACCAGTTACTTATAAAGTAGATTTTCAAAGCTACGCCACGCATTCGTCAGCCAACTTTAAAAGAGCTGACGCTCTCGCAAACAGAATTCAGCGATGAAAAATAAATAACTTTCATGGGACAAGACACACTGACAGACAGTACATGCTTCAGTACATCAGTACAGTACATGCTTGTACATGCTTCTCCACAAGTTTCCATTTCAAGAGCATCTCCAACGAAGATCGAGATCTAAAGAACATATCTCAATGCTTCAACACCTCTACACATCACGACACTTTAATGAAGGGCTTTCCTACAACCACATCTTCCACTTACCAACAGTGGGGTAGTTGGCGGGCAGCATCCTGATGCCCTCCAGTCTCATATATCCGCTGTCTCCATCGTCAAACTCCACGTACAGCATGCCCGGCTCTGGTGATACCCCTTCGGTGACTGTGCCCGGGAAGAGGCCGCGCAGCTTCGGCGACCAGTTGGCCAGCACGCGGGTACCCGGGGTTAGGGATGAGAAGGAGGCCGGACGCACCTCCCGTACCTGAGGGAGGGAGGGGGGGGGGGTAGATGTGAGCCAGGGGAGAGGTGGATCACTGAGCAGACGCCGACGTTTGAGTGAGTTCAACTTGAACTGAGTGTGCCCAACTGAGCCATCAGACTACGTTGATCTGGGTAATGAGTGTGTGTGTGTGGGGGGGTGGAGGGGAGGGAGGTGGAGGGAGCAGCGACGACGATGACGAGCTGATTCAAACAACTTAGTATTGAACACAACGATAGCATCCCCTCTCTCTCTCCCTCCCCTCCCCTCCCCTCCCTCCCTCCCTCCCTCCCTCTCTCCCTCCCTCCCTCCCTCCCTCCCTTCCCTTCCCTCCCCTCTCTTTCCCTCCCTATCTCCCTCCCTCCCACCGTCCCCACTCCTTACCGCCTGGTTGAGCAGCTGCTCCTGTGTGTAGATGTTCGGCCGGTGGCACCTCTCGCCCTCCACAGTGACGCCGTACAGGTCCGGCGGCTGGATAGGCTCCAGTCGACTCCGGTAGAACAGGCCGTCAATGAGCACCAGAAGCTGAGTGATCTCACTGAGATCAGCCGCCGACAGCGCCGGGTCACGCGAGCCTGCGGAGGTCACACGGAGGTCAGACAGGGTCACGGGGGCCTGCGGAGGTCACACGGAGGTCAGACAGGGTCACGGGAGCCTGCAGAGGTCCCATGGAGGTCAGACAGGGTCACGGGAGCCTGCAGAGGTCCCATGGAGGGTCAGACAGGGTCAAGGTCACGAGTCGGATCACGGGAGCCTGAGGAGGTCACACGGAGGGTCACACATGGCAATGGTCACCGGTGGAGGTGACGGGTGAGCTAACATGGGGTCTTTGCTACTTGCGCAGCAGAAATAAGGTCAGAAAAGGTTCTGATCAGTTTAAAGGTTAAAATATGACGGGTAGATCAGGTAAGAGAGAGCATGGACACGTCAGCAAGCTCACGTCACATAAAGACTGACAAGGCTTAAGTCTGAAGTCACGTTAACTGTCAACGAAACGATTTGAAAGAGTTCCTTTGATCACGAAATTTCGTTACTCGATTTGTCAATATTTCGTAATAAGATGCCGAGCGGGGTCATCACATCCAACATCAGCAGGTTATTCGATTCATATAAGCTAGCCAACGCAACGCCAGGAAGACTATTCCTAATCGTAGCACAAAAACGACATGCACTATCATCTTACCCGAACAGCTGAGTCCGTTAACAGCACCAGACGACTCGGAGGTTGACCCCGACTGGGGCGCCGCTGAGGGCGCCCCTGTGGGCGCCACAGCTGCCGTGGGCGCCGACTGGGTGACCCCGGGCGCCGAGGGTACCGCCGAGCCTCCTGATGACACCGTTTTCACTGTCGAGACACCAGCTCTGTCCCCACTGCTGTGGTTGAATCCGTTGCTGCTGTAGCCAGGACCTCCAACACTAAGTGACCGCTCAGTTTTACCCATTCCCGACAGCTCTCTGTGCTTCTCTGCGTGAGCGTCAGAGCTGCTCTTGCGTCGTTTGGCAGGCGTGGAACCTCCCGCTTCTCGCGAGTCAGCTTGTCGCTTAGCTGGTGCTTCGCGACTCACTGATCTAGACTTGGACGATGTGGAGTCTTTACTAACTGATCGTTTTCTCGGAGTGGGGACTGGTGGCGGTGGTGGCGGCGGCGGCGGCGGCGGCTCCTCACCATCGCTGAAGCTGTCCTTCATGATCACCTCGGCTTTCAGCTTGGGCTTCAGCTTGGGTTTCAGCAGAGGATAGCACTTCTTCTTGGCCACGATCGTCTCAGTGTCATCGGGAGAGAACGAGTGCTTCTTGGGAGGGCAGAGCTTGCGCTTCTTTCGGGCGGGGTCGGAGCCCAGGTGGAAGTCAGATGTCTGAGGCACGTGACGCTTCTTACACTCCGCCAAAGCCTATAAATAGGTCAGAATACCGGTTAGAGACTCTCAGATTATCGTTAAAAACGCTTCTACTATCGTTGAGACTCACCTCAACTACAGTTAATGACAACAGACGATCGCTACATATCATGTGCTGATGGTGCATGATCTAACGCGGGTGAAACCCAGCACTTCGGCCTCCAGCACGTTTCCATATCTGTAAGCTACGGACTGTATAAAATCGTTTGGTGGCATAAGAATGCAGAAAAGTTTATTAGAGAATTGCCATTTTCAGCATCCTCTAACTGACACTGTTTCTCAATGCCTTGTCCGATAGCCAGAGAGATACCATTGTGCCACAGTTCAGACGTCTAACTCTCTATCATTCCCCAATCCCCAACTCACCCGTATTCCGTTGGAGTAGTTGTTCTCCCTGCGACTGCTGAACGAGTAGCTGATGGTGTCGGCACACGCCGTGTCCTCCCAGACGTCCAGTCCTCCTTCCTCGCTCTCTGTGTCCGACACCGCGCCCTCCTCCGACTGTCGGGAGGACACGGCGGCTGGAGGAGGGGACGCGCGCGGCGGGGTGCGGGTACTGTCCGACCGACGGCGCACCGCCGAGCGCCGAGCGCCGCGCACCGACGGGCGCCGCTTGGCCGGAGATTCCGAGCTGTTCTTGCGCGGTGAGAGGCGGTGGAGTTTGAGCTGCGCGCGGTAGAGTCGCTGAATGTCCGCGAGCTTTGAGTGGAGCTCCTGGATGCGGGGAGAGTCCTCCCAGAAAGGTTCGATGGTAAACCGGACCTGGGGAAAGATGAGGGAACGTTAAACTAACATTGCGGTTGGTGTCAGGTGAACATTGCGTTCAAATGATGACACAGCGCCAGGCAAAACAATCGGTAAGCGGACTTACACGGGCAGGACTGTTTTATGACGGCTGAGTAGAGAACGGACTTTTTTTAAATTTGATGGCGAAATTAATGCGCGGACTATTTGGGGTGTACAACACCTGCATTTATTGATACTGAACTGCTCGGAAACAAGCTTGCCGTTTAACAACCAGCAAACGCTCAACAAGACAATTTATGGGACGCGAGCGTGCGATATAACTATCAAAGAGCAGGAAGCCAACGGGCAGCACTTTACCATCACGACACACACATAATCAATACGATATCCAAACCACCCAAGAGCCCCCCACCCCCACCCCACCCCGCCTATCAATATCTACACATCCTCCCCTCTATCTCCCACTCATTCTCACCTGCATCTGGTCGACTGATGCGCCGGTGCCGGCCGCCCGTCTCCTCAGCCAGTCTCGGGCAATCTCGGCACTCTCCACGGAGCGGTAGTCCCTCCTCCCCGCCGGATCCACTGCCGGCCTCTTCCACATCTCCCATCGGGGCGGCACGAAGAACACGCGAGGCTCCACCACGCGCGATAGGTGCTGTTCGGCCACCTCGCAGAGCGCCGAAAACGGCCCTAGAGATGGAGTAGAAGTCTGGGCGGGCGCGGCGGCGGCGGTGCTGGATAGAAGATGAGCGGCAGCCAGTAGGGTGGCTAAATGATCAACCTGGGTTGGACGTTGTATAGAGGCAGCCTCACAGAGAAGTTGCAGCCCATCGGTCGTTTCTGATGAGGAGACTGTGGTTGAATTCGTGACGGCACTTGAGAAGGCGCTCGTGACGGCGCTCGTGACGGAGCTCGTGACGGGTGAGATCACTGTGACGGCTACCGTGACGGGTGGGAGGGGCCTCAGGTCGGCCGCACAGCCCGCCAACACCTGTAGCGGGTCCGCGCTGGCCGACGTAGGACGAAGTGGAACCGACGGAACCGGCGACGCCAATCTCTCGGGTCTGTCGGCTGTTTCTGTCACTGATGACGCCACTGAGGACGCCACAGATGATGTTACAGACGATGCCACAGATGAAGTCACGTATGATGGCAAAGATGTCATCACGCCAGAGCTAGACTCCGTGGCTGACTTTACAGACCGTGGTGGTGCCAAAGTCACCTTAGATTCTGTCGAAGCTGGAACCGTCACAGCCTTCGCGTCAACTCGTGTCGTTTCGCTTATCTCCTGTGATGACTCATCGTCTTGAACCACAACGCCGTTCGAATGTCTGGAAACTGTTACAGCTGTTTTTGCCGATGTTTCGTCTACTGTTTCGGCAGCTGTTTCCACAGCTGTTGCGGCTGTTTCAGGAGCCGTTTCAGCAGCTGTCTCCGCAGTCTCAGCTGCAGCGTCTCCTTCAGCCGGAGACAAATCTCCCTCGTCGGACGGAGATCGTTCGGAGATCACCAACTCCGCCGGAGACCGGTCCAGCGGAGATTCAGACGGAGATCGACCGCTGGGAGATCGCTGCGGAGAGTTTACACCCGACGGGGAGTGTTCTACCTCACTCTTCACCCCCGCCCGAATCGAGTAAGGCTCTTCCGCCGCCACCGTTTGCCGCGGTGTCTCCTTCGTCTCCAGATGCGTCTCTTCCGTCTCTTGCCGCATCTCTTCTTCCGTCTCCACTGTGGTCTGTTGTGGCGTCTCGTCATCCCTGGCCGCCTGAACGGGAGTCACCTGTTCTTCCCGCGAGGCCCGCTCGGGAGACGGACACTCGGGTGAACTTCTCCCGTGTGAAGTGTGACTTAGCACGCCGTTGTGGTGTGACAGGTCGACCCCGTTGGTCTGTAGAGAGACCTCGGAGTGGTGTTCAGTTACAGACGCCGAGGAGTGGTCCTGTGTGAGACGGTTGGACACGGGGGATGACGCCTGGTAGCTCAGTTGGGAAGGTAGTCCTGTCCGGCCCGCCACCGACACAGGCGGGTCAGGGACCGCGGGCACAGACACCTGGTCGTGGTATACCGGTGAGGTCGCCTGGAACGGATGGAGGCGACAGTCAGATGTGCGTTAATTGTTCATGAAACGTAATTACATCTTATTGTAGATACCAACCTTAGTAGGAAGTGAAAACGTAAATATTACAATAAATGTCACTTAAATGATTACATTATCAAAAAGACAAACCAATGAATGAATAAATAAACGAATGAATGAATGAATAAATAAATGAGCATGAAAAACGAATAAATGAACGAACGACAATGAATGAATGGCGATGAATGAACGAATGAATGGGAATGAATGAATGAATGAATGAATGAATGAATGAATGAATGAATGAATGAAAATGAGCGAATGAATGATGAAAGAGTGAATGACCACCCGTCGGCCGTCCATGTGCCGCACCACTGACCTGTGACCGGGTGCTGACCTCCCGTACAGTACCCCCGAGGTCGGCAGAGGGCGCCGCCTGAGACGACGCGGCCGGCAGGGGCTCCGGGGCCAGCACCGGTACGGCAGACACCAGCTGCGTGTGTGACGTCACACAGAAACAACACGACGGTGACGTCAGAGGGGGGACGATAATTGAGGTAGCTGGGAGACATAAACTTTGCTTTACGCAAAAAAAAGTGAAAATTAACGTCACAATTTCATAGAAATACAAGCCGGTCACGAGGTTATTCGCATTATTTGAACATTTCTTCAAAAATGAAATATAAAACTGATGAGCACGGATGGAAACTGGCAACTGCAATCAAAGAAACATTTGGCTAATTTCATTTTTAACGAAAATCCATCTTTCGAAGCTCCTGTCACCTACCGGCAGCTGGCCGACGGACTGCATCGGATGTTGAACACCAGGCGGCGGCGCCGGCACGGCCGAGTGTACACCGGGTGCGCCGGGCACAGCCGCATGGTGTACACCGGGTGCAAGATGCTGCGGCTGAGCAGCCGGCGCCGGCTGAAGTATGAAGGAGGCAGGCGGCTCGGCAGCGTGCGTATAGTAGACCGACTGTGAAGAAAAACAGGAGACACAAGGGTTAGAACAGCCCCGGTACAGGTCTGTACCGTACGGACAACGTACTACGATGGTGTATGAGCTGTACGACTCGTAGGTGCCATAATCAGCAGCTGTGATAAACGTAGATACTGTGCAACGTGCAATGTGATCAATTGAGTTAGCAAACCTCGGCGGTACGATTTCTTTACGAATACGCCCCTGAATACGATACGCCCCTGTGACAAAGTATCGAACGAAACTTAGCTACGTCAGCCGTCCGCACCGCACTGCTGTCGATTATTCGGGGGTGGGACATCCATTTATGAGGGACCCTGGTGTTTTAATTGAAAGCAGAGCTGTTCTCATCCACTCAGCAGCAAAAGTTTCACCGGTTGTAGAATCTACCTATTTAGACCAAGTCTTCAATCAAATCCACATGCACAACCGTCACTGATAGAGCAGCTTTTATTGAAGTAAAGCTAAAATGGCTTGGAATTCCCTTATTCCTTAAATTTACGTCAACGATGACGAGAAGAAGAATGATACGAAGAATGGCTGGCATTTTAAATGCAGCAGTCAATACTGTTTTAGCCGCATCATTACACGTAAGCTGAGCCTGGCCAAATGGCAAGCAGCCATCAATTGTTTACACCCACCACCCAAGAAAATGAATGAAACTGAGCGAATGCAATACAATTAATCATGACATCCGGCGCCGTTCAATAAAATGAATGAAATGAAAATGAAGAAACGAAAATATGTTCCCAAAATGAAACGAATGCCTACAGATGGATAGAAAAGACATAAGTATACCACATCCCAATGATGCACAAAGAATTCGCTCATATTGCAGTGTCCAAAATATTTACCTGTGCGCCATTATCAAGGAGACCAATACTCATAGTACCAGACTGCCGTACAAAGTCAAAACCAATTACGTTGGGGTGACCTCTGAGCTGAGGTAAGGACCTCTGACGGGGCGTAATCGTCTATGCCTTTGCACAGCAGAATGGACCTATACAGAGGCCATCAGATATCATTGAACATGTTCTAAATACGTAAGTCAAATATGCGTTGCTTCTTTTCGCAATGTTCCCCCGTACTGGCCTGTAGTGGTGCTGGTATGAACTGACCAGTATTGGCGCTGATATGACCTGTAGGGGCGCTGGTATGACCTGACCTGTATGGGTTCTGCTATGATCTGTAAGGGCGCTGATATGAACTGACCTGTAGGGATGCTGGTATGAACTGACCTGCAGAACGCTGGCATGTACTGTAGGGACGCTGGTATGAACTGACCTGTACGGGCGCTGGTATGAACTGACCTGTATGGTTGCTGCTATGACCTGTAAGGCCAAGGGTGCTGATATAAACTAACCTGCAGTGGCGCCGGTATGATGTACTGCACATTGACGGGCGGCGGTGGGGGATGGTGGCCGCCGGCCGGACTGGGAGCCACGTGACTGGGGGCCGGCTGGATCGGCTTCAGCCGGCTGGTGGGCTCCTCCTTCTTGATCACCTGAAAATGATACAGAGGTTATCGGCGATTGTTCACGGTAGGTGTTTAGATAAGATACTTTTGGGCCGAGGTGGCTATCTGAATACGTTCAACGCATCACTGAAGCTAGTATAAGAAAATATCTGGAGAGAAGGAAGACAATGATCGGCACTTTGCTTTGCTCGAGCTTCAAGTTGCGGCAAAACAAAACACTACAGACAAGGAAGAGCATGAGCCTCCGTTCCGTCGTTTCCATCCTCAGGATACTGAAATCCTTCTCCTCCACTCCGCAACCCCCACTCCGGGCTGGACAGGCAACTTTATCTCATGCGGGCTATTCCCTTGGAGAGGCACCGCTGCTCCCGAGGGAGCGCACCCCGTAGCCGGGTGCAGAGAGTGCTTGGGGGGCTGGTCGGCCTGCATCCTTTCGGACGGGCTCAGCCCCGGCGACTCTCTAGGGTGTCTCCCCAAATCCCAGACCAATGTCTCCCCCTAATTCCTATCATCCTTCCGGCTCTGAAATGGTCTTGTCAGACTGGAAGGTCCTAACCCAACAAAACAAAAACAAAAAACGAAGAGCTTGAGAACAAAATAAAACAGCACTTCCCTCGGTCACCGCTAGATGTCTGGCTACAGCCACCCCACGACTCGATCCCGAACTACAGCTTACCTGCGCGCCGGTAGATGTCAGCAGCGTCTGTTCGGAGGTGGCCTGGATGTAGAGCTGGGGCGGCTGAGACGGTAGCACTGTGAGCTGCGGGGACTGGAGGGGAGACACGCACTGGTACGGAGACCAGAGAACGGTGGGCCGCGGCGCCGGCTCTGTGGGAACAGCGGGGGAAGGAGGTCAGTTTGGGGTCACAGGTCAGGGAGCTGGGGAAGGTGGGTTGTGGTAGTGACTGGAGGCACCAGGTCAAATGACAATCTGAGTCCTGAGGTCAGAGTCTCAGATCAGGACCCAAAAGACAAGCTGTTATAAATGTATCCGACGTCGGACTCCATCGAAATTAAATTGTTTGATATTCAGTTGAGATTAGCGATCCAAGCGCAATCTCATACCCACCAAACGTACCTAGCTCATGAGTCATGACCATGGGACCGAATCAGCCGGATGCACACGCAAACAAATGCTTTCAAAGTTCCATCACCACGATATCCCTTGACATAGCACCTTCTAACACAGCTTCATTCCTCTCATGACGTCATTGTCCTCCAGTGACGTCACGCGCCATATACACTCACCGACTGATCGCGGTACGAGCATTAGATGCCCGGTGGCCGGGTCGCTATGCAGCTGGACCTGATAGCTTGTATATAGCTGGGTAGCTGTGGAGAGAATACACGGGGAATCAGTTATAAAGGAGGAGCGAGACAGTAGGGGTGAGAGTTCGTAGGGTCACCGCTAGGTGGACGCGGTAGTTACTGGACCTGTCGCTAGGGTGCCTGCTACTATTAACGTGGAGGGGAGCTTTTTTTTTGTAAATTTAGCAAATGTTCGAATGGATAGATTGACAGAAGTAGAACCGAGGCCCACGCTAAGCAGAGCTTGTTGCGTAGAACGACCCCTGCCGCCCGATCGCGCAATCAGAAGCGGCGGAACACCTTCAATTAACCCGGCAGTTGCTGGGGTATTTCGCCACCCACCGTTTGCTGGGGGGGGGGGGGCGTTAAACGCCCCCAGCCCATAACTCGAGAACCAATAGGCGTAGCGAAACGCACGAGACGGCAAACGAAAGAACGCGACAAGACGCTTCAGATGAGTACTTTAAAGTTGAATTTTGAGGTCACAGGTCGGGTCAAGGTCAGGTCAAACACCTGAAATCGGGCTTTCAGTAGCATGGATTTCAGGACTTCGCAATGGGCGCCTCTCGTCATAAACTCTGTCAAAACGGTGCACAATCCATCATATAAGGCCTACAAGAGTGTCAGCTCCATGTAGGGGTCAATCAAGCATAGGTCAGGGTCAAGGTCAGGTCAACCGGGTAGGCACATATCCCCGAAAATCAAAACTGATATTCGCGGCCTGTGACACATGTTTAATGGGTACTTTGGGGCGTAGAACACGATGGTGACATTCATTTATCATATGTGTACGTGTTTGGCTCAAAAAGTTCAATTTAAGAAATGCATGTATCATGGTCGTGAAGTAGTCACGAGAAATTGCCAAGATTCAGTTCAAGATTTTGGAAAATTCGGAACGATAATCAATAATCGAAGATAGCCATCTGATTGTGCATGGTATTGGCAGTCTAATGGCGTTTACGGCATGTCTGTATGTCTATTCTGTGATTTTATATGATTTTTTGAACATATGCCGTTTTTGGTCGAAAACTCAGAAATCATGACGTCACTAAAACCTCGATATCTCAAAAATTTTCCGATCGATTTTTTTGAAACTTTGGCACAATAAACTTCAATCAATTGCCTACAGGTACGCAAAATTTGGCGCGCCTGCGGCGCGCCGTTTTTATGCTGTGGCCCGGCGAAAAAAGTGGGGGCGTTTAACGCCCCCCCCCCAGCAACTCGCGGGTTAAGGGGGGGGGGGGCATTGCCGACTTTAGGTCCCATTCTTTCTATGCAACGCTCATAGGGCTAATGGTAAAATGCCAAAATCAAAGGGGGGCACGGTGCCCCGGTGCCCTCCCCGTTCCGCCGCCTATGCGCGCGATGCCGGACAACGGTACAAGTTAGATGTCCAAGTTTAACGTGCCCATCAAAGCCGGACACGGCCTGTCCCACTCAACTGACTTCAACTGGCTGCGGCTGCTCGTGCACCAACCGCAGACCATTCCCGCCAGGAGTCTCAAATATCGAGCGCGGAGCGACTTGAGCCCGGCTATCACTACCGGTAGTCTTTAACCCTATTCCTGGGGGTCTACGTCAAAACAGCTAGTGACATTTGAGCTAGTGACTTTTGAGCTAGTACAAATCAGCTAGTGCCTCAGAACAGCTAGCGACAAAATCGCTAGCGTCAAAATAGCTAGTGAAACAAAATAGCTAGTGCTTCAAAATAGCTAGTGCTATAATCGCTAGCGTCAAAATAGCTAGTGAAGCAAAATAGCTAGTGCCTACGAAGTGCGAGCAGCTAGTGTGATTTCTTTCCCGACGGGTCCTTTAAGAAGATTGTGACATGAACATTGGCATTGAGGTGCAGGCCATGGCGCCAAAATGCACGAACATTTCTTTAAGGCTTCAAAGGAAAAGAAGGAGGCTCGAAGGCTATGCACCAGAACCGGTTACTAGAGCAGGAATCCAAACGCCAGAAAAAAAATAGAATTGTTAGGCTAGGAGAAGCAGTTGTAAGTATAGTTACGACCTAATGACCGAATCATACTTTTGTGACCGATCAGATGCTTGACGAATTGGTGAAGAAGAATGCATGGATGCTCGAAGGTACTTTCAAAATCTGACCAGTAACTTTCAGTTTCAGTCAAATATGCAAGATTAACGTGGTTGTACGCGGTGCTTTAGAGGGGTGCAAGTGGTCTCAGAGGGGCGCCGTACGTTTACGTCTTCTGGGAAAAACCTTTGGCAACATAGGTACCGAAAATCTACGAAACTAAGTCATTTACGACAACGCACGTGTATAATTGACATTGAATTTGGCCAACCTAGAGCCCTCCGCGATGTCTTTCCTACCATCTCAGTAGAGGGATTTTTTTCATTTGACTCAAGCTATTCTGTCACTAGCTATTTTGATCCACTAGCTATTTTGCTTCACTAGCTATTTCGACTCTAGCGATTTTGTCACTAGCTGTTTTGAAGCACTAGCTATTTTGCTTCACTAGGTATTTTGACGCTAGCGATTTTGTCACTAGCTGTTTTGAGGCACTAGCTGTTTTGCACTAGCTGAAAAGTCACTAGCTCAAATGTCACTAGCTATTCTGACGTGCACCCTCTGGTGACCTGACCTGAGGTCAGATCAACTCAAAATTTTCAGACATGTTGCGTAGAAGCCTTTTTTGGCGGGCTCCGCCGGGACAAGAAACTGGCGGGGGGGCCGATTCGGCCCCCCCTTCAGATCTCAACTACACATCGCAGCGACAAACGGTAAACGGCATCGGATACGCACGGTCAAGATCTACAATTTTTACTAAGGTCATTTTCAGGTCAGGTCAAAGATGACGTCACAGGGGTCGAAAAAGTCAAAACGGCGGCGATAGATATGGAGAGAGTTTTTCTCGAATAACTTTCGAATTAGTCAAGATAGGAACAAACTAAGGGCATCATCGTGATCCTCTCGTCAATCCGCATCGAATGATATAGGTATATGTTGACCTCGAAAGGTCAAGGTCAAAGGTTGACCTCAGGTCACGTGACCTCGAGGTCATCATGTATATCATTCGATGCGTCTTGACGAGCTGAACACAATGAGACCATCCACGCGTCTGTATCTTGTTCCTGTACGGAGTTATTGGCCAAAAACCTTTGGTGACCTTTGATGACGTCACATGACCTCACAGCTGTCCAACAGCAAAACAGACCTCAAGGTAGTGAAGGTTGATCGTATATGAAGTCATGTATGGTATATGGGGCCATTCCGACCCGTTTTAGTGGTAAAAACAGGGAGTTGATTTTTCCTCCATTGACTTATAATGGGGAGGTCGCGAAACTGACCTGACCTTAGGTCACCGATATCAAAATTCCGAGATATACAAATTGCACATACTGGTATCCTAACTAAAGCCTGAAGAGAAGAAATTGATCGGTCAAAAACTCTAGCTCTGGCGTGATTGCAAACTTTTCTGAGGTAGGGTCACCAAACCGCCTCTGGTGACCTGACCTGAGGTCAGATCAACTCAAAATTTTCAGACATGTTGCGTAGAAGCCTTTTAGGAAAAGTCAGAAAATTTGAGCTTCCTAGCTCAACGCGTTTGGGAGAAATAACCAAAAAACCTCAGGGGGGGGGGGCTCCTGAGGCCCCCCCGCCAGGAATAGGGTTAAGATTTGCCAGCTGAGCTACGGGACAGGCTAACTTCAATTAACATAGGGGCAGGGCAGACACGGGTTGTGGGAGACAATGACAAAATTCACATTTATCTTTTAAACTTCTATTGCCTATGCCCGTAGGCCTATGAGGCTGTTGTAAGTGCTGCAAGAAAGCCACTACGAACTTCCGAAGAACTTGCAAAGCTGAGGCTTGGCCCAAACCTAACCAGAATGGTCCTTGGCCATCGTGTTTTTTTTTCGTTTTTCGTTTGAGCTCTCCGATGCTGATGATGGTGAGTTGATGTAACAGGGCGCAGCAGCAACGAGGCTTTAGGTATTGCGACTATTTCTACGGAAAACTGCAGGACCTTCGAAGGCCATTTTGGGCTCTCCAGGGTACAATTCTTGGACCAATTAACTGCAGGTTGCGGGCCATTTGAAAATAACACACAAACACATCCGTTTAAATGCTGGGGATATAAAAGAGAGATGATAGGTATGTCTCTCTCCTCGAGTTTAACAAAGGCGGCTTAAAACGGGGCTGAAATGGTGAGGAACTGGGAACCGCTCAACGGATGAGGTAACCGATAGTCGTGGGTGCGCTGTTCATTTCCTTTCTTGCGCTGCCAAAAGCATTATGTTTATAATCCGATGTTGTTGTAATGTTCATAATCCGATCTTTAAGAGCCGAGAGGGGCCAATGATAAGGAGCCACGACTTCCACCCCCCGGTCTCCTTTCTGCCACAAGCCGCAGGTAGAACTCTGAGCATTTGACATCTTCAAACTTCCGAGCACCTGGGGCATTCCACGATAGATCGTACCAGGCCCGTCACCCTCATCTCTCAGATTTGAATGAAAATCGGTCCTAGGGGTAATCATAGGCCCTAAAGACGCCTGGCAAAATATCAGACTTCTCAGATCAAAACTTTTTGAGTTATATTGCATTACATTTTTTTAACTTCGGTATGTAACGGTGAGTTTGATGGCTTATAACTCAAGAACGGGTTAAGCAACCAACAAAAAGTAAACAACACTAAGCTTGCGATGAATCAAAAATTAATATTATTATTTAAAAATTCCAAAGAAAAAATTTCATTGTTGAGCAAAAACCTACATCTTTTTTCATTTGCCTCTAATGACTTTTGGGACCAAAATTTTTCACATTTTTATTTTTTCAAAATAATCTTCATGTCATTGCAAATCGACATGCAAAAAATTAGAAAGGTGTTCTTTCTATAAGTTCCTTATTTTCCCTCAAACAAAATGGGTTTCGGAGGGGTTGATACGACCCCAGCACGCCGTTTCGCTTCTAATAGAGCTAGAGCCTCGCGGAAAAAACGAGCGTGTGTGCCGTTACAAGTCGCAGCGATTGGTACCCGATTTTAAGGTCTCAGGTTAACCGGTAGCGTCTGAGGTCAGGTCACGTGACTGAAGTTACGGGTTCGGTTTTTAGTAAACAACTTCGCAAAAAATGGCCGCAGAGCCGCGATTTTGGCATAATTGTGTTCGCCTAGCTCAGGTGCATCGAATGGTATACTTTTTGCTAGGGTGAGGTCAACTTAAGTAGTTGACCTCGGGTCAAGGTCAGGTCAGAGCCCCTCAGGTCACGAAGCTGGGCAAAGGGTATCATATGGCATATCATTAGATTCGGAAGGTCTTCCCGAGTCCATTGGTGGCTTTCCCGACTCTCTAGCTTCATTTGATCGGGAGTTATTGACGAAAAACTCGTACGACCCTAGTGACGTCATAAATGACGTCACGCAAGGTTAACAATGCAAAAGTAAAGCATTGGACTTTGCAAGGAGTGCATGAAATCACGATATCATGTACGTGGGGTAGTTTTAGATCATTCTCGGTGCCAAAATAACAGTTTTTATATTTCCCCATTGATTTATAACAGTGATGTCACGTGACCGACCTGACCTCATGTAACCTTGAAAAATTCCCAGATATACAAGTTGTGAGACCTCTGGAGGACACCATGTATGCGTCCTGTAACTTTCATCTCGGACAGCTATGGTCATTGGCGTCCAAAACAATGTCAGAACCAAACAGCCTTTTTCACCCTCGCGCTTATAGGAAAGAGGGTTGAATGAACCCTCTTTTCACTTTTTTCAGATGACTCAGACTTGAATTGAAATTTCAGCAACCCGTGATGTCACTAGGCAGCTTTACCACGCCATTTGAAAGCTCCCCTCCCGAAATCACTATTCGAAACCGTTATCGTGACGTAAAATAAATACATTTATAGAAAGAACACCTTCCTAATTTTTTGCATACTTCTTAACAATGAGCCAAATATTTTTTTAAAGAAATAAAAATTCAAAAAAATTTGGTCCCAAAGTCCAAAAAATACAAATGAAAGAAAACTCGATATGTCATATATCAAAAATAGCGTATTTTTCGAAATTTCAAAAATACATATTAATCTCTGTTTCATTGCAAGTTCAATGTTATATAACATTTGGCATTTGAATAATCCGTCTTAGAGTTACAGCCCGCCAAACTTCGCGCTGCAAAGCAAGATCTAAAAAATGTTATACACCATAACTCAAAAAAATACTTATCTGATAAGCCTGAAATTGTTACAGGTGGATTCAGAGCCCCTGATTACCCCTGAGACCAATTCTCGTCAAATTCCGAGAGATGAGGGTGTCAAATTGGAAAAAAAGTGGTACGATCTATCGTGGAATGCCCCACCTAACCCATTATCGGTTCCACCTAGCTCAGATTGTGGACCGGAATTCCACCGATCATATGACTATGCTGACGGGACCAGCGAGGTCGCTGATCAACACAGTACCGACGGGCGGACCACACCGGTCGCTGACGTCACGGCCCGTCAGACTGGGGGGCGGGGCCAGCTGATTGTGACGTCACAGCATCGTGACAGCTAGCGACGCCACGCGGTCGGGAGGGGAACTAGCGCCGACCGACCCGTCGACGCGACGGTAAACCGAATCGGCGACTGCCGGGCCCCGAGAGGCTTGAGAGAGGCGGGACCGGCCAGGCTTTGGACAAACTTGCAAACGAAAAAGGTGGTGGAGACGGATTATCGCATGTAAACGAGACGTCAACGAAAATACGTGCTTCCTGTTGGAAAGTCTACCTATAGAAAGATGTGAAGTTTTCAGCACCCTTCAAAGTAAGTAAATTAATTATCATTTATCTGCGTTGCACAGAAACCAGCAACCAATAACCATGTTTCTCTCATTTTAGGTTTGAGGGAGGATAAAAATGTGAACGCAACCATTTTTGGAAAAGTTAGCGACAGGTACTACAGGATCAGCCTGAAAGTCGGTTCACCTCTAGACGCGGTTGGGGCTGGCCGTCTTCCTATTCCGTAAAACTCTGAAGCCACCATGGTGGCCACGAACAAGCGATGGAAGCCTATCCATTCGATTCTCGGAAGGAGACGTTTTGATTTGAACACACACCTCGATGACCATACGAGTGCAATCGTTCACCTTTTTCAGTAGCATTGGCCATTGGACCACACACTCTTCATGTCGGGGATCGTATGTAACGCTGAAGGCATTTGCAATAAACATAGAAGTAGGTAGGTATATAGTTAAAATGAATGGTGAGGGACATTCACACAAACACAAATATTCCCTTTTCCACTGCATCATCTCGGAAAATATTCCAAAAGGAAAGCACTGAGCAGAGATGCCGACACTTCCCTCAAATGCAAATTCACATCGAAACCCCTACTCCGAAAGAAAGGGAAATAAATGTTTCCCCTTATTTCCGCGCACCCTTTTCTTAATTCTTTCTTATTTGTTCCTAGCAATTCAGCCTCCATCGGCACACACTTTTCTGACACCGCCCTTCACCCCTGCCCAGTCCAATGTTGTGTCCTTACCTGCATAGGGCTGTGGTGTGGGGCCGAGCCACATGGGCGGCAGGGGCGCCGGCTGGGGGGCTGGGCTGCCCGGCACCCCCCAGGCGGCCCCGGTCAGGTCACGGCCCGGCGCCGCGCCCGTCCAGACCGGGCCGCCGAAACCTGCCGAGAGGAGGACAGACAAATGAGCATGACACTATGACAGAGACAGTATTAAACCTGCCGGGAGATGACAGATACATGAGTGCGACAGTGTGACATAGACGGTATGAAGCCTGCCGGGAGAAGACAGACAAATGAGTGCGACAGTGTGACATAGACGGTATGAAGCCTGCCGGGAGAAGACAGACAAATGAGTGCGACAGTGTGACATAGACGGTATGAAGCCTGCCGGGAGAAGACAGACAAATGAGTATGGCAGTGTGACATAGACGGTATGAAGCCTGCCGGGAGGGGGACAGACATATGAGTGCGACAGTGTGACATAGACGGTATGAAGCCTGCCGGGAGAAGACAGACAAATGAGTGCGACAGTGTGACATAGACGGTATGAAGCCTGCCGGGAGAAGACAGACAAATGAGTATGGCAGTGTGACATAGACGGTATGAAGCCTGTCGGGAGAAGACAGACAAATGAGTATGGCAGTGTGACATAGACGGTATGAAGCCTGCCGGGAGAAGACAGACAAATGAGTATGGCAGTGTGACATAGACGGTATGAAGCCTGCCGGAAGAAGACAGACAAATGAGTATGGCAGTGTGACATAGACGGTATGAAGCCTGCCGGGAGAAGACAGACAAATGAGTATGGCAGTGTGACATAGACGGTATGAAGCCTGCCGGGAGAAGACAGACAAATGAGTATGGCAGTGTGACATAGACGGTATGAAGCCTGCCGGGAGAAGACAGACAAATGAGTATGGCGGTATGATATGGACAGCATGAAACCTGTCGGGAGAGGACAGACACGTGAGTATGGCGGTATGACATAGACGGTATGAAGCATACCAGGACTGTCCAGGGAGAGGACAGGCACATGAGTATGGCGACATAGACGGCATGAAACCTGCCGAGAGAGGATAGATACATGAGTATGGCTGTGTGACAGCATAAAACCTGCCGGGAGGGGGACAGACACATACATAAGTATGGCGGTATATGATTATGGACGGTATGAAACCTGCCGAGAGAGGAGGATAGATATACTCGTACATTAGTATGGCGGTATGATATGGACGGTATGAAACCTGCCGAAAGGGGATAGACACATGAGTGTGGCGGTGTTACACAGACGATATGACAGAATAAGAGTGTGACACAAACGGGGTATGATGGCTATAGTCTGATGATATATATTGATGACAAGTAGGATATTTTGGAGTCCCGGAGAGCGGTAATCCGCTCCGAACATTCCACTTCATGCTTCAATCATCTTCCGAACTCGGTAAGCGTTGAAACTTAAAAATATGGACAACGGACAATGAACGGAGATGAGCTAGCCCGAGGAACGATCGCAAACCATGATTGTATATTGTATTGTATATGCCGGGCAATGTATAGCAAGCAAAGACATGCAATATGTAGAGGGTGAAATAATGTGAAAGAAATTACAGATGCACCTTGAGGAAAGATGCACACTTGTCCGCACCGCAGGGCAGCTGCATCTTTCCAAATACACGTTTGGCTGCTTTAACCGGTTTCCAGCGATCCCAATCGTGTACCACATCTGTGGCAGCAGTCGCCAACCCGCTCTGTCGGTTCTGGATTCTGGACAGAGCTCCAGATCACCTGTCTGGATTCTGGCCTCGGCTCCAGACTGGCTGTGTCGGGTCCTGGACGCGCGACTCCGCGTCTGGGGCGAACGAAACTTGAGACGTGGACAGCGCACATGTGGTGGGAATCTGTGGGGTAAGCGGGCCGCCCGGACGGGACGAAGGGACGGGACGAGGGGACGGGACGAGGGGACGAGACGAGGGGACGGGACGAGGTGACGGGACGAGGTGACGGGACGAGGGGACGCCAGAATGAGTGATGGTAGCAGGTCGCCGTCGAGGGGATTTAAACGGGACGATCCCATGTCGGGAGACACATTTTGTGCATTGTAGTCATGGATAGCTGTTATAGGTCGCACTATAGCAAATAAGCGCATTTTTCATTTCCCGTGCGTCGCCCACACAACGAAACAAAAGGCAAAATACTGCTCGCTCAGCAAGCAAATACGAGCATTCTGAGTGTCAAACGAAAGTCAACGAAAAAAGATAACCAGGAATCGAAAACAAGTGAGTTCAGACAAACTACTGATAGTTCAGAGGTTGAATTTGTGTTTATAGCTGGAGCGTGGGATTTCCATTTACACCATTTACAGCGTGCACAGCTCAGGCCGTGCACTGCCAACTAGGCAGCATTTAGGACGGTACAGCACACACCGAACCGTCCGAACCGAAATGCAGCGCGAGCAGCACGAAACATCCTTTATCTGGCGCGACCCGCAACGAAGCAACGGGACAGAACGGTCCCGTCTTTCAGAACTGATGTGTCACAGTCGTTACAGGTGGTGGACAACTGGGGAGGACTTTATATCGCACAGGCACACCCATCAGGCCAGACCAACGCAGTCTTTAGGGCCAGTGAAGCGCAATCCATACTTCATAGTAGACCAGTCCAGCGTACGCTATTGGTCAATCCAGCACACGTTATTGGTAAAGTCATTCAATATCGCACACTCATTAGACCAGTCCTGCGCCAGCTACACAGCCGGTAAAGCACAATTCATACCACGCCTCCATTAGAGCGATACCCACGGCGTCCGAGTCAGCACGGCGCAGTTAAAAGGACAATACAATAGCGTGGTTATCTATGTGGGATCTCCCTGTGCACCCCCCCCCCCCTCCCCCTGAGTGTTCACACTGAGTGACGGCGGAAAACTGGGCAAAGAACAGGCAACTGTATGGCCAGCAACACGAATGGATAGCACAGGCTGAGCGGAAAGCCCCAATCGTGTTCAGGGGACGAGGCGAGGTCCTGTCTGGGTAATGGGTAATCAAATGGGTAATGGGTTGTGGTATTGACACCTCACACTTGGCACGAGCTCCAGCTACGGTCCAGTCGAAATCTGACTTTCATTATTTCAATTCCTAAACGCTCGTCGCGCACGCGATAAAATCAATCCACATTCAATGGAATGGGAGATCTTGTTCTTTTTTATTTTAGTCCAGAATTTGGAATCAACGAATTTTCAAGACAAGCACCTCGCAAATTGCATACGCCAGCAAGACGCACCATAGCTGACTCCACCATAAACAATTATTTATCTCAGACTTCAAATGAGCCTCTTTCTTCAGCAGTGCCTTGAGACGCCGTGAAGCGGCTGGCGGCCGCGCGGTCCTCTCGGGCCGATCATCGGGGACTGGGGGCGCGCCGTCCCCCGCACTCATTCAATAAAACCACCCCACTGGAAACAGGCCCACAATCGCCGGTCACTAGGGCCATCGCGCCGCCCTGAGAGGCGGCAATGTCGCCCTTACGGCACCTCCCAGCGCCGCGAACGCCATGCGAAGGTGACTTTCACTACGCGGGCCGCAGCCGCCGCCGCCAGTCCGCAGTCAGTCCACCGCCGCCGCCGCCGCCGCCGTCAGAGTCGCAGTCAGTCCGCCGCCGCCGCCGCCGCCGCCGCCGCCGCCGCCGCCGCCGCCGCCGCCGCCGCCCGCCGCCCGTGCGCCTTTGAGCGTGTCACGCGCGACGACTGAAGATTCACGCCATCCGCACGCGCTATTTGAATAAATGAGCATCTGGCCCACAATTGGAAGAAAAGATCGGAAAGATCGTAGCGACGATCTTTTCAGTCGACGACAAAAAGGTAATTGTTTAACAGGAAGGAGATAAAAAGTGGTATTTGGGTGCCGCCCGCGGCGAGGCAGGTGGCTCGCGCACGGCGCCATCGCGGGCACCCCAGCTGAGTTGAATGATGTCAGAGATGTGAGGAGATCTACAGGACAAGTGTGGTGATGACGGCAAGGAGATCAATATCTTCAGAGCTCTGCAATATGCAGGACGCCTCCTGACGCTTTTCAATGTCAGCAAAAACCAGGAAATACTCATGATTTTCAACATCTCTAACTGAATTCTTAAATGTCAAAGCAGTTCAGCATTCATCCTCACGTGTACAAACGAAAAGTATTTGTTTAGTATGCGTACTGACAAATGTCGAGCAGCCGTGCAAACTGCGAGACTAGCGCATTTCTACGGACGGACAAGCGTCCACTGAGGGCCTGCACTATGCACTGTTTGCCTCTCAATCTATCGACGCAATAATCTATCATCGTTCGATGCACGATCAGTCTCATTGGTGAGCGATTCGCTGCATCAACACAGTCAAGTGACCTGCGGATGGACTTCGACCAATTGACTTCGAGGAGAGTTGACACGGCATTGGTTTCGTGGCGTCCTCGAGGCTCACAGCGCAGCTACTGGAGGTCACATCAGCATAGCCAATAGCCATGTCAACGCCCCCAGGATCCCATCATCGTCCCTTGCTCAAATCACTTTACCTCCAACGGTACATCTTCACCATTCACGGCCAAGTTTCACCCTCTTGAGCGTCGTCGCCCTTCGAACGTACCACATCACCAACCCTCGGGGTCGGGTCGACATTCAACATCGATGTTAAGCATTCAACAATGAGGTCAACTACCATGAGCAGATGATCTATCCATAGGCGGCGGAACGGGGAGGGCACCGGGGCACCGTGGCCCCCTTTGATTTTGACATTTTAACATAAGCCCTATGGGCGTTGCCTGGAAAGAATGGAGCCAAAAGTCGGCAGTGCCCCCCCCCCCTTAATTGAGGGTGTTCTGCCGCTACTGCATCTATCATCGTCCTCGAGGTTCACAGGTCTCAGCGGATATAGATTGGTATTTGTTGGTCTATGGGACGCCGTATACGGCCGTCTTTGGTATGAACATGTGGCCAATAGCCGTGGACGGAATCCAGGGAGGAGGGAGATGACGGGAACAGTGGAGCGTTTGTTCTTCACGGAACGGGACCATGGATGTTGGTGCTCGCCGCGTTTTAGGACCCATGAAGTTGGGGAGCGGAGCGGTTGGTGTGTGGTGGTGTGGCATGCTCGAAACCAAATTCTGCCGTTGTTCTGTTCCGCGCCTCCCGCTTGAACATATATCTCGGGGGACGGCGAGGGCCAAAGCAGCTTAAATGCATCGATAGCTTGGCTTCCAAACGAACTGAAATTTGTTCAGGAGGGGCGGAGAGTGGTACTGCTCTGAGGAGGTAAGCAGGTAAAGATATCTGGTATTTTAACGAAGGCTGCAAAGATGGCTTTGCGATAGGCCGTGGCAATGGCCCCCAGATAAGCCTCTCTGCTATAATTTTGCTGGCATATCCTTCTCACCAGATGTATAGTCTCTGCTCACCATTGACGCTAAAAGGAGAAACGTTTCTCCGCGAGCTAACTCATCAGTGATCATACTGACGGAAAACATTGTTCATAAGCAAGCCTCTATCATAAACACGATACCTGCCTGTCTGACCACATTGAGGACTGGTCAATACGTCCTGTCCCGCGGACTCATTCGAGGAACAGTTACCACTTACCTGGTCAGCACTATGTGATCAATACCTCCGTCCAGCTCTATTTCAGGCCGGCTCAGATTCCCCGAACGAATCTGAGTGGGTTCGACGAGGGCCCGGGCTCGGCCGACGTCAGGATATGACGCCGCCGTCAGTATATGACGCTGCCGTCTAAATATGACGCAGACTGTCCCCTGTCGCAGCCTTTGAAGTCAGGGCCAAGTTTGAAGTTCACAGTACGCTGACAGGAATTGACGGCAAAGTCACCAAGTTCATGAAGTTGGTCGAGCGTTGATACCTCGAGCCACAAAACAGCCCAAAAAGGACACAGGACGTCGCAAAACATGTCGGCTTTGACAGAACAGCGCTGGTTCGAATTCGGAGAATGTTCTCAAAACTTCGAGCCATGAGACAGGAGTGCATTCCTTCAGCTGGATGCTGCTAAGCTTGATGGGTCTCCCGGATCTAAGCCCGTTGAACAGCTGAGTGTCTCAGGTTGAACCGCTGTGATTTTGCAGCTCAGTTGAATCGGCAGGCGCAGCTGGTGAATCCACTTGTAAATGAACCACAGTTGAACCCAGTGTAGAGCGACTCAACAGCTAATGTTACACAAACTCTCATTTCTAACCACCAAACAGATCAAAGCAAGAGGGTGCTTCGGTTATCCATGCCATTACGAGTGAGGTCTTGGATTTATTTCTGCTACAGCGAAGCTTCAATGTTTGCCTTATAATTCCGAGTAGAATCAATGAAAAGCGGGTTGAATTAGCAATATGCAATGGCTCACGTAACGTGGTCATTACTGAACCGTAATTTTGCTGATCGGTGAGCTTCGAAGATTGGAAATACGAAGAAGCTATTGCCGCAACTTGAAGAAGGATCATGTTAAGCCTTTAAAAGAAATTCAGACAATGTAATTGGTGATTTAATGATCAAGCATTCAAAGAAATAATAATGGATCTGGTAATAGGGTTAAATAAGACATATCATTGGCGGAATTGAAATAAAAGAGTGCGGAATTACCTCATTAAAACTGAGTCAGTACCTTTACCTTCATTATTTCAAATACATAGGTAGAAACTAGAAATTCTGGCTCGCTTCGCGCGGGCCTGAAAAAAAATGTCAAAGCCCCCCAAAAAATCCAGTCCAGCTTGAAGCAATCATGTAAAAAAAGGACAATTCCTAAAAGTAGTCTCCGAATAATGCATCTCAGTTCCGTCGGGTCAACATGAGACTCCTGCATTCTGCAATCCACAGTGATGAGATGCGAAAGAAGAGATTATGACCGTATAAAGATGTGCCCCATCAGTCCGCAAATAGTCGAGCCGAAGTGAGACACTCACGAGTGTGTGCTAGGAAACGCAGCAGCAGCAGCAACTGTGCACAGTCGTGCACATCATTCAGCAACCGAATCAACCCAGTCTTTCACTGAATGCTCCTGTGCCAACCAAGAGCGTTTCTTCCTATCCAACGAGCTTCGAGTTCTGAGCAAATATGGCCCACAAAAGTACATAGAAAGATAGCGATGAGTCAGACGTCAAATGGGACTTGCAGAACTGATACGGCTCAGCAAACAGCAATGTGATATTGCTTCAGTAACAACTGACGCACACTTTGGCCAATGAAAAAAAAAACATTTTTTTACCACGTTTTCGTTCAACAATAATTACATATGTAAAGATGAAGGACTTCAAAGAATGTAAATAGAGTGAATAACCTTATGCTCATGTTATATGTTGCAAATTGATATAATTAAAACTAAATTGATATATTTCGATATTGCACCGTCATCAGAATGATGACAGAATGATTCTGATGACGGTGCAATATCGAAATATATCAATTTAGTTTTAATTATATCAATTTGCAACATATAACATGAGCATAAGGTTATTCACTCTATTTACATTATTAATCATGCTCAGAAATACCATAGCTTACCTCCAAGGACTTCAAAGAAATTCGGATAACTTTTTGGGACACATTCTGTGTGTTCAATAACAAAACACGCATGACATTTCCCCAAATAAAAAGTGTTTTCAGCAAGTAAACCGCAAACAGTTTGCATAGGTCACCGATAGACGTCATTGCTGGCATACCTGGCAGACTCAGCCGGCCGGCGATAGATGTCAGCACCGTCGGCTGGGCCGCACACTCGGGTTCCCGCTGCCGGGCCTTGGCGATACCCACCAACTTTCCCCCAGAGGCTGTGGAAAACATCAAAGGTTAACGGATAACGTCAGGGGGGGGTCAAGGGGTCGTTATGGTATGTGGAGAGGGATGGGTGTAAGACACATTGCTAGAGAAGAGAGATGAAAGGGGAGGATGGGAAGACACTACGAGGCGAGGGAGCAACAAGGAAAGCTGCCTCACATTTACATGCTTATGAAGCATCCAGGATGGAGTAGGTGTGTGAAGCATTTTAGCCGCGCTTCATCCAGCCGGGCATTATCATCCTTCTTCAGCTAAACAAAACTTTAGCACAATTGACCGATCAGGCAGACCTAGGTTTGAGCGCAGCGCCAGGCCTTAGGCCTTCAAAACACCAACAGATCTGGTGTTGTTCTGACCTCACGATGACGCCCCTCTCGCAGCACCCACCTGTGGCTGGCAGCACCGTCCTGGGTGCTGAGCTGACAGCAACCGGCCTCCCGGCCTCCCCGGCGCCGGGCGAGGCCACCTCGGCGCCCGGCCCCGGCCCCGGCGCCGCGAAAGGCCCCAGCCCGCTGATGGAGATCATCTGGTCGGGTGTGACGTCACCGATGACGTCACTGCTGGCGGCAGCTGAGCGCCGCCTCTTGCGCCGCCTGGGGGGAGGGGAGGGGGGAGGGGGTCAGCCGGCTGCAGCGGGGCGGGCGTGAGCAAGCGCAACGAGAGGTAAATTGGAAAATGATGCACTGTGTATTGACTAGCATAGTAAGGAGGTTTATGAGATGGCCTTACGTCTAGCTGTCTAGCCGCCGTGCCTAATTGAAAATATAGCATGCTTCTGCTCGAGGTAAAAGCGCGGGAAACTCACGGCCTGGGGCCATATAATGCTGTATTGGAGGAAGCCAATGCCTTCAAAATTTGCTAAGAAGTGGCAGTGTTTATGTTGCTTGTGATCGTCTCTCAATGCTGTGTCTCGCACGGTGTTGAGGCAAAACAGGATCTGGATGTTTGCTTCACCCATTATAGAGTTCAGTGGCTTCACCAGAAACTATCGCGTGTCAGCCCAGACCAGACGTCAGCCGTAACATTCATGGAAATAATCACCAATCTGGCATCTGCCCGCTCGTTGAAGAGGCAAATAAACAAGTCCTTAACAGGAATGATGCCACGGGATTTCCCATCAAACAAAGCCGCAAACTTCAACAAATCTGAAAATGAATTACAAATAGAGCCACACCCCTTTTGTGTTTAAATGAAAGTGGACACAATAATAGGGATGGACGTTACCATTTCGCCTAAGCCTTCATCCCACCTGTCCGCAGGACACCTACTTAACTCCAAAATCCAGTCTAAAACTTAGCAGATTTGAACCATGTACTCTTTGACCCTATAATCTCGTACGAGGAAGTAAACAGCATTTACATTTTACACCGAAGATCTGTGCTGGTTCTAGTTGCACACCGCTAGCTTTCGGCTCCATCCAGGATTCAGATAAGGGACTAAGTCTCGGGCTAAGTCCCTGGTAAACAGTCACAAACTGCCAACTCACGGTGGTCGCGGTGTCAGAACAAGTTTGACGCTTAGTGAGGCGACCCCACAGGAAGGCGAGACGTGGTGTCGCGAGCCATGCGGGAATCGAAACATCGGAAGGGATTGTCGTTCTCCTACCCAACTTGAGCTTATTGACGTACAGTGGCAGTGGCAGCACTGGCAGCACTGGCACTGGCAGGCAGTGCTGAGCAGTGCTGAGGGCAGGCAACACTGGCAGCGGCCAGTGCGGGAGCCATGGGAGCCCGATGGGTAGGGAGTGGTGGAACATCAATCTGCCCCCGAGTGAACAAGATAAGAGTTCACGAGTTCACGCGGAAGGTACAGGTATGCACAATGCACAGGCACATGTATGTAGTTACTCTATCCACACTTGGAGGAATTTTTCCACTTGGACTCTATCCACACTGGAGGTCTTTTTACATAAACGGAGTGAGTCTGAGCATTTAACAAGAGAAAATACTATCTTATTCAGTATTCACGAGAGCAGAGAAGTGGTAATCGGCGACAAATGGAGAGAAACATCTCGTTAGACACCACGACTAGACTTTGAGCAACTTGCGTGGCGTGTGATTCACACAAACCGTTGGTGCTGTCAGCATTTACCGGGATTTGCCCATGTTTATACGTGGTTGTATAACATCTAGCGATTTTAGGTCTGACCGCCTTTGCAGGATCTGACCAGCCTGCTTCGCTTCACGAAAAACCTCACCCCGTCGAAGTTGAAAGTCATGTCAATACCGACTCGGAAATTCCGATTTCCATGGTAAAACCGTCATTTTAAAATGTTGTTCAATGGATGCCTAAGAACAGTGTAAAAGAGGTCCGGACAAAAAAGGAAATTTATGTAAAAATACACGAGAGACATGGTACATCCAGATACGGCTAGGCCTTCCGTGCAATCTGTCACCGATTTTTAAGGCAACAGCTTCGCGGAAAGCACATAAGACAACAAATAAGACACAAAAGGCAATTAACCTTCCAGGAGTGCTGAGACCCAGCCCGGCGATTCATGAGAGCTGACAGCAGAGCTATAGCACAAATTTATATTTCCTTTATCACCTTAGCCCTTGACTGTGTTCAATCCAGTGTTCAAATGTTTCCACAGCAGGGCCTCGTTTCTTTCATAAAACGAGTCCGTAACTTACGCCGTTTTTTTTTTGTCTTGTATTGCAAGTGCATGTGAAGCGATGACGATAGTTTGAATCGTTGAATTTATTTATCTTCGAAGCAAAAACAGAAGGGAGAAAGGGAAATAAATTTATCGCTTCACATTCGCTTGCAATACAAGCCCAAAAACCGGCGTAAGCTACGGACTCGCTTTATGAAACGAGGCCCAGGTCACGGTGACGAGTGACGGAGAATTGGAAAAACATCGATGACTGGCGAACTGAAATCTGAATTCAGTATGCTTTCACATGGAGGCAGTGATTAAAATTCAACTTACTTCAAAAAAAGTTTTGTGTGATTTTTTATCCAAAGAGACTGCATTGTGGAAATATCGCAAACATAGGTCGAGGTATGCCCTCAGGCGTGTGACCTCTGGCCTCACGAGTCCAAACTGACACCCACACGCGTGTATGCTCATTTGACACGGCCTAAAGTTGGCGTCAATATTTATCGGCTTAGTTAGTCAAGTGTAAACTATGCGCTCGCGGCCAAACGAGTAAAGTTTCACAATATCAGGCCCAGAGAAGCGATGGGGCCGTATAAAGGTCGAGGCTATACACCGTGCGTGTGTAAATAACCAGAAATGGAAGTAGGCTGCTTCATATACGAAGTGCATAGTTGTGCACCCGTAAACCAGAAACGCTGTTATTCACCTGCACAATAGGTACAGGGCATGTAAACAGAAGGCATGACGGGACATAGGAAATGTAGGCATGAGTTTGAAATGTGGACAATGTGTACGATAAGCACACAACTAGGCGCAGTCGGTGACAGACGAGTCGCTTCATTATACTAGATGCCGGCAGCGCTCGTGCGTTGCCTTGGGCCAGAATTGGAGGATCCATAGCCCAATGACTTCATTAAAAAGAAAGCGTTGAAACATCCATGAAATGCTTGAAAGCACGTGAGATTCATGTGGAGATCTACCTACAGTAAGATATGAATTAACTGCACGTGCATAGTTCATGTCCCAGGCACCCTAGTGCAGTCATTTTCATAACATCATGTAGCGTTTGTCTAGTTCTATCAGTGTACCGACTTTTGTGTCGCTAGATCGACGTTTCCCGGGATCAGAGGATCCCTCGTCAAAACCGTTATCCGCCCCCCGCACGCGCAGCTTGCACCCCTCGGATATTACCTCGCCGGAATGTCGTGATCAAATGTATTCTTCTTATGACCTGCAAGTTTTGAACCAGTTAGAGCTGCCGTTTACCCTGCAGGCGTGGCAACGTACGAAGGGGTGCAATCGGCTTGCACGTGCATAGCTCATGCACCACAGAGTTTAGCTCAACCAAATGTGCATTATTTTGGGGGCCTTGCCTGGGACTACCATTGAACCGATTTTCAGGTTGATAGCTTAAAATTTCTTTGAGCTAGAGGACCTCACGTCAAAACGGTTTTCCGACCCCAGCACGTGCAGCCTGCACCCCTCGCAGACGGTGACCCCCCTGGAAACTGGTTCAAGGTGTTACCGATGTGTCCCGCCAGTATGGCTTTGCCCGTGACCTCGGGTTGACCTGTAGCCTTGACAAAAAAATTCGTGTCACCGAAACTTTGAAGCGGAATAGCATGTGCCACGAAGCACCGAGCGAACCGAGGCCAGCACCAAAAGTTTACCTCGCCGGAGACGAATCAAACGGTCCCACTTTCGTCCCGATCGGTCCACCCATTTTGACTCCAGGTCCAAAAAAGCTTGGACAAACTCGCACACATACTCACTGACAAACAGGCTCGGCCGAACTTTTTTTCAGCGACCCACCAATGGGAATTTCCGGATGCAAAAGCATGCTATCGCATGCTTTTGATCCTCCAATTCTGGAAAACGGCACTTATTCACTTAATTTGTCGTAAGAAGATAACAAAAGAACCTATGATTCAGACCGTCAAAAAACGCAGGACCGGGACCGCAGCAACTTTATCCCGATCGCATTCATACAGTGTCGATGTCCATCGCCCTTCGATAAGGCCCTGTAAGCGTTCCCTCGGGGATGTCCAGCAGCCGTCGCGACTGAGTAAAAAAAAATCTACCTCAAATGATCTCAACTTTTTTAAAATGTCAAATGTCTATGTAAAGTCACGAATCGTGCCACACATTACAACGGCTACAGAAAATGCAAATGACAACTACACATCTGCAATAATAACCAGATAACCGTAATCCCTCCCAAGTTTGACCTGAGTACAAACTCGATTCTACTCAACTCCACTCAACTCATTACTCAGAACTCACCGGCACCACTCGCTGTAGCGGACCCATGTTTGGCTCAACGGCCGGGTCCTACAGCAGTCCGGTAGTTCGCCGCCCGCTCCAGAGATGTCGCTCTCAGCGCCTGGTTCGTCAGCCTCTCCAGAGATGGCGCTGGCAGGCGCCGCCTCGCCCCCGACGGCCGCTCCTGCAAAGGCGAACGGATTTGCGTTAGACTACGTCATTTCCGTAGCGAAATGCCGATGCGTCTCGCGAAACGCTCGACCATTTATTATCAAACGATTTTGAGTCTGAGAACGAACAAGCGCACAAGATCATGATCAAGGCGTATGCTAAACGTAAGCTGCAGGACCGAAAATCGGTGGAACGGGGAGAGATCGGGAAATACGGCACGGCAGACTCGGTCACACATGGACGCGACACGAAAAAAGCGGCATCGGGCTAGGCGGGAAACGGACGAAAAACGGTTCCTCCAGGCCCCAAGCACAGAGGGAACACGATAAATGTGATTGTAATTTGTAACTGTGATCGAGCAGCCGTGAAACAAATTTCTCAGTGTCAACGGAGATTTGAAATGTAGAAGCGTACGCAAGCTCAGTAGGTGAGTGAAAACAACGGGGACATAAAGTGTGAAGCATCCCGCACGCCATTTCCGCAGCCCCACGGAACAGAAGGTGATCACGATTTTCTCCCGCGGGCCTAACGTCATGTCAGAGGTCACACACCGCTCCTCGCCCCCGTTCATTAGTTTGCAAAACTTCAAGACACATGGCAGTGCAGTGGCGGCGAATGAGCGCGGTGTGCGTCTGTTCATTTACCATAAGCAGAGCAAATGACGGCTATCCCCGACCTTAGGCGCTGACAGTGAATAACATTGGAATTGCCTCGGCGCAGTTTGTGTATTTTATTTTTGTCGAACTTCATTTACGAACGCCTTTCCATAAGCAAGTCATTGCCTTCATTCATTCTCTTTATTGCGATGACTTCCTTTAATTAATTTATTGCACTAACTTCATTGTGTCTCTCTTTGACTTTTATCGGCAAAAATAAGGAAATAATATTGATAATTGACAATAAGTGCAAAAACTGCAGGTAGAAATCCGTCAAATCTTACAACCACACCAATCAAGTTTGCAACTATAAGCCACCAAAACACCGGAAATACCTCACCTTATCTCTAGAGTCTAGATCATCAACCAACAGCCGAGCGCATTCCATATTTCCCAGACTGTCTGGTTAGCAACAGCCCCCCCCCCCCCCCACTAGCCTCTTGCCTCCCACGCGTCGTAAACACCGAGCCATAGCAACAGACAGCGTGGGATGAGGGGTTGTGGCCTGGGGGGCAGTCGGAGAAGGCGTGCGCTCCCCCCCCCCCCCTCCTCCGCCGGAAGCGATGGATATGCGCGGGCATAACACCAATAATGGGTTTTTAGTTGGTCATAAGACGCGTAAAAGATTCCAAGAGCTCGGGTACGGGTAAGCATCTGTTGTGGTTTTGTCAAAATGTTTTCTGAGTTCTGAACACTGAGAGTTGATCAGTAAGCTAAGCATCCTTAGCAGACAGCGCAAATGTTAAGAGATAGCAGCAGCGAGAGCTTTCGTCGGGCCTGGTCATGATAATTCCTATATGTACACGGATTGTCTTCAATAATTGAATGGAGATAACATTCCAAAATACCGCATGCTTTGGCAGGTATTTTCTCTTTCATCCCCGTGTCAGCTATCGTAGAGATACGACCTAAAAGCATGATAATACCCAACAACGTTGCAAATCACGGTATGCTAGAAAAAAGCAGCTTGACCAGTGGCGGCGGAAGCTAATTTTGGATGGGGTGCAAAGTTTTCTCAAGGGGCCCCTCTGGAAGTTTTGGGCCCCCCCCCCTCATTTTTTTGAGTGATAATTATTGATTTATGAAAAACAAAGATTTTGGAAAACTATCCCCATACACACAAGTTCTGTAAAAGGTTTGAAATTGCAATTTGCAGTGTACATACCTATCTCAAATAATAAAAGCATAAAGAAGCAAATGCAGCTAGTTTTTTATCGGCCAATCTGTTAGTCTAGCCACCACCTGCAGCGTCTCAAACCACTTTGCTGGATCCGCAGTGGACCATTGAGGGCCCTACGAGAACGTTCTAAGAAGACCGTGTGTTAGAAGCCCCTTGGAAACCGACCACATAGAGATTCATCCAGAGACCTACATGACTCCCCAGACTGAATGAGCCCTCCGATCAGGGTCGGTCCCTTGAAAGTTGCTGAAAGGTTTCAGAAGGCAGTATAGGCTCGAAAGTCTTTTGAGGGCTCTCAGAAACCGGCATCGGACCCCAAAAAAGCCTGTATGGAGGCCCTCCAAAGCCGGGATGGAGGCCACAGGAGCCGATGTTAATCCTGAAGAGCTGGTATGGAGGACTGAATAGAGGAAAGGGGTCTCCGTGGGGCCTTCAGGGGCAAGCGTTTGAGCCCAAAAAGCATGTGTGGGGTCTTAGAGGCAGGTAGACCCCAGGGGTATGCACGGGGTCCCAGGAGCTCGCGTGTAAGCCCAAATATTCGGCTGGCGGCTACCAGAACCAGCATGGGGATTCTTAGAAGCCGCTTAGATCCACATTTCATTGGTCACGAGTCCCAAGAGTCGATGTAGGGACCATAAAAGCCGTGTAGGGTCCATGGCCCTACACCGACATTGAGACTCTCAGAGGCCGGCGACGGGGCACCAAGAGCAGATAAAGTGCCTCAACAAGCCGACATGGGGCCTGAGAATCAGTGTGGAATTCCAAGAGCCTGCGTGAGCTCTCGGAGACCTTCGTATTTCGTAAGGTCCACAAAGGTCGTTGGGTCCTCTGAATCTGAACTCTGCGGGGCCCTCAGAGGCCAGCATGTCTCCTGGCACCTGCCTGCGTTGAGTTGAGACCCTCTGAGGCCGTCGTAGGGTTCTTCAGAGGCCAGCGTTGGCCCTTGAAGCCTTCGTTAGGCCCTAGAAGCCGTCAAGAGGGCCCTCAGAGGTCAGCATGGCCCCTGGAGCCTGCCTGCGTCGAGGCCCTCAGAGGCCGTCGTGGGGCCCTCAGACGCCAGCGTGGGCCTTTGGAGCTTGCGTTGGGTCTTAGAGACCATCGTGAGGGCCCGAGAGGTCGTCGCCAGGGCCCTCAGCCCCTCAGGGACCGTCCTGGGGTCCTCAGAACCGTCCTGGGGTCCTTGTGAGGGCCCTTAGAAGCCTTCGGGAGGATCATCAGAGGTCGTCATGAGGGTCCTTGGATTAGTGAGGGTCTTCGTGGGCCCTCAGATACCTTAGCAGGGCTCTCAAAGGCCTTGGTAAGACCGCTAGAGGCCATCGTTAGGGCCCTCAATAGACCGTTGCAGGGCCCTCAGATGCCGGCATAGCCCCTGCAGCCTGGTTGTGTTGGGGTCCTCAGAGGCCGTCGCTGGGCCGTCTGAAGCCAAATGGACCCTCAGACTTGAGTTGGGTCTAGGGCCGTCACGAGGGCCCTCAGAGACCGTCGTAGAGGCCCTCAGAGGCCAGCGGGCCCCTGGAGTCCTGTGGGACCCTCAGCGGTCGTCATGACTCATGAGCGCCCTTAGTGGCCGTTATAGGGCCCCAGGGGACAGAGGTCGTCGTGAGAGCCCTCAGAGATCATCGTAATGGCCTTCAGAGGCCGCCATAGGGGCCCTCAGAGGCCAGCGTGGCCCCTGGAGTCTCCTTGGGGCTCTGGAGTCTCTGTGGGACCCTCAGCGGTCGCCATGAGGGCCCCAGGGGACAGAGGTCGTCGTGGGAGCCCTCAGAGATCGTCATAAAAGGGCCCTCTGAGGCCGTCGTGGGGGTCCTCAGATGCCGCATGGGGACACCAAACGCGCCGCTCGGGACACTTCTACCCGGTGTGGGGGCCCCAAAGACTAGCATGGGGCGCTCCTGACCATAATTGGACATCCCGGATGATTCCACATCAGTGTTCGTTTCCCGAATCCCGATCACTGGTTTTCAGGAGAAAATGTACTGGATGGTGCGACGGGCCCCTTGTACGGATTTTGGAGGTGCAAAAAGATATGTTTGCACCCCCATGTTTTTCGATGGGAGTGCAGCTGCACCCCCTGCACCCCCTATTCCGCCGCCACTGAGCTTGACTCGCTAATACTTTTACCATATTATCATATTGCCTCACAGGGCATATCTAGGAGTTTCACAAATAAATGCCTTGTCGAAGTAAAACAATGGACACATTCGAGCAATGCATTCAAATGCATGCCGTTTCGCAAACAGTGTCACTCCCCTATTCAGCTCACAGACAAAGCCATAGCCTCATGGGCGGGAACATCCTGTGACAATTTGAATATCGCATGCCCTATCGTCTTTAACTTCCGACGCTTGTCAAAGCGAGTGACAAGCCATATCTAAAGCCACGAGGGACGGCATCGCACAGAACGTGTCCGTTCGATAGAATATCTGGCCGGTCTGATCGGGCACCGGGCGGAAATCCGTCGACTCTAATCACCGAGCGTGACAATGTTATGTCCCATGACATGTTTGTCAGGAGCGTGTGCTGTTGGTTGGTTTCCGGTTCGGCTGAGCTCCTGGTTTGGTTCAGGTTTGGTTTAAGAGTCACGTTTGAAAAAGCGCAATGCATTTAGCATTCACCGCGCGCTTCGTTATCAGTCGGATGCAGTGTCTCTGGCAATGTGTCTCAGGATAACAAACGAGTTTCCGCTTGCTACCCGTCTCCGTCTCGTCTCCGCTTCGTCTCTCGTCTCCATCTTTTTATTTGTCCATTTCCGCGCCCCTCCACCTTCGTTCCTTAATTTCTGTTCCTCAGTTTTCGTCAATCCGTCTCTTTGTCCCTCCGTCTACGCATTTACGTCTTTATAGCTTTGCCTCTCCGTCAGAGTCCATCCCCTGTTCTTTCACATCCTGCATGCCCGATGCCGGCTTCAGCGTCCGCCTAGTCATCCAAAGTTTCGCCTCTGCCTGTGTCTCTCAATCTCCGTCTATTTTTCCAAACTTCCTTCGTCTCCCCGCTCCCGTCTCCATTGGTCCATGTTCGTTTCCCCATATCTACACCTCGTCCCCGTCTCTCCGTCTGTCTGTCTCAGGAATGTCTCGGGACCGGAAGGGACGCCACCCCCCCCCCCCCCCTCCCGTCTAGTCCGGCTCTGGGGCCCCCACGTCTGCTCGCGTGTCCGAGGAATGCCATGGGCTGTTA